CCAATATATAATGAAACTTGATAGTATCAGTGGAATATCCTGTAGAATTACACTATTAACTATACCGAAAGATAAGCAGTTACCAATGAATCACCTCTTGAACATTATGTATTTTGGGAATGTCTAGTATCCTACTGAGTGGCAACTGCTATATATAATTGCTCAATAAGAGAAAAATTGATGTTTCCACAAACTATGCAACTCGGAAGTTGGGTCTTTTGGATCTCATATTTGATGGGACCATCCAGCTCTGCACCTAAAGCCATTAGTCTCAACACTGTAGTGTTAATGTCAGTCACCGCAAAGGACAAGAGCGACGAGTGTTCCATCTGCAGGGCATGTTCACTGTAAAGCTAGGATTAGCAGCTACTTCAGATCAATTATATTCCAATCCAGTCACAGATAAGGAAAAACAAATATCTAACATTCCAACATCTGACCAAAGGCAACATACTAAACAACCCACTTAACAGAATAGGAAATGGAAACATAATCGCATTTTCAGGGGCAGAATGTAAATAAGTATCTGTCAAAATTAGTTGATTGGTTAACCTCATCTCAGGAGAAATGCAAAGGTAAAATATTGAGTAAAATTGTATAAAAAATAATGCTATGGGGAAATACCAAGTAGAGGTGTATAAAAAATAATGCCACTTCTACCCAAATGGAGAACTAAGTAATAAAACTCAAGTCGCACATGGCTTCCATCATTAAGAGGGCTTTATGCAAAGCTATTTCAATATTCAAAGATATATTTTCAAGTCACGCGCCAGAAAATCTGCCAGGCGTAACAAAGAAACCATAGTGGTCCAAGATTGTGAGATGCTCTCAGCCATGTCAAACAACTCAAGCATGATAGGGTACACTGATGTGAGGTGTGGTCTCACACTCTGGCAAGGCTTTATAAGAAAGGAACTTGGATTGTTAGAAACTGTGAGGACCATCTAAACTTATATTAAAACTTTGGGAGGGTGAATTTTTTTTCAGAATAATGCTGGCGAAACCTTCAAATCAATCTGTCAAAAATATCATCCAATCATAGTAATGGCAAAAACATCCATCCAACTAGGAACATTTAGCTATGGTTATCTATAGAAATGCCATGTGCTCATTTATACCTATTGCCAACTGATGCATCATCTCAGGGATTAGAACTAGATGATATTTCAACATAGATATAGATTGAAAATATCTTACTTTTAAAACTTCCCAGATAATAAAGGTGCCATTAAGTATTGATAATGTTGAAGACATGATTAAACTGCTACTAATCATGTAAATAAACCACTAATAAAAAAAATGTATAATTTTTATTTTCCTTATTATTGTTTGTTGTTTGTAACAGTCTAGTTGGTTCATCAAAATAAATCATCCCAATCAGCTTACTCATGGGGATCATCTAGAGCAGAACATAAATTGAAAGCAAAAACGCATTTCACGTCTTTATCAACATATTTTTGCTTCTCACTCTGGGCAACTACCAATAATTTTCTAGGGACATTCCAAAATTCTGTTTCATGTAGTTTGGCAAAGAAATTTTGAGTCGGGGGTATAATTGATCGTAAATTATGAGATTGAATCTCTTTCCCTTCGAGGGAAGATATTAATTATAGAGAAAGTGGAATTTGCACAATGACTGCAAATCCCTCCTTTGATATCATTTGAAAATAAAAATTCTTCTTGTGCCAAAAAAAAAAAAAATGATTTTGATTAGAATCATCAGCAGAAATAAGCAAATGATTAAGCTGATACATTCAAGTGATTAAACGTTTTACAATTAGTAAGCTGGATTTATTGTCATAACCTTCATTTTCCAACAAAATCAATCGATTTAAACCATGATCATGAGCAAGTGCATTTATATACTCCTGAAATAAGTGTATTCCTCCACTTGAAATTAGATTTGAACCAAAGGTAGAGGATTTTGGGGGTTATCAAAAGATACATAGTTCGATACAGTCAAAACATGGTATAATAGTAAAAAAAGAATAGATACCTCGGAGACATGTAAACTTAAACAAGTCTTCTATCAAGCATAAAATATTCATAGCACTTATAAAAGAAAAGGTATAAAATATTCATAGCCCCACTTCCAGTTTCCATCCTTTCAACATCATATCTATATTTCTTGGTCATACTAATGATTACTTCACTAATCTTAGTAATGGTCCTGCATTCTCAACTAAATAAGGAGCTTCCTTCAATGTCTTAAATACAATTTAAATAATTTGAAGCAAAAATTATCTATTTCTGGAAGCAGAAACTTTAAAACAAGGTGTGAAATTAAAGGGGAAAAAGGGAAGGAAACAAAATTTGAAAATTTTAATTTTGTCCATGTGAGAACCCCCCTAGAGGGAATTATTTGGTGCAATGGTAAAGGCTCAGGCCACCAAGAATGAGAACGTGGATATAGAGACAAAGGTTGAATCATCGTTAGCACGAAGAGTGTGCAAGGTGGATGGTATCTACACAGTGGAGCAAGTCATGACAATCTGGCTCTCCTAGCACCTCAATTAACAATGACTAATACTGAGTAATGGCTCTTTTTTTATTTTTTGGATCTGTTGTGAATCTGTGATGGATTCGGAAATCACTAATTATATAAAGAAGAGATAAATGTTGGGTTTCCATTCGTACAATGACCAGAGTAATAACTCAAATACGATGCTGCCCTTAACAATGAATAAACTAAAAAAAGGGCTAGCTTAGTGCACAAGGGTCCTGCCATTTCGGGGCGTGGGGAGGGTTACACATACGCAGTCTTACATTTGCATGGATAGGCTATTTCTAGTTTCGGAACTGTGACCTCGGGGTCACAATGGAGCACGGTTGTGCCAAGGCCCACTAACAATGTGTAAATATAATTAGCTTCAAAGTTGATATCTTTAATCCACTAACGAATATTATTTAGAATTATAAGAATAAAAAAATTTCAAGAAATAATTGAATGATGATAATGAAGACAGAATAAACACCTCATTCTATTGATCATTGTTTGTGGGCAAATTGGAAGTCAGACAAGCTTTTATGCATCATCTTGAAACTGTAATCAATTAGGTATAGCTCACTTGTGTAGAGCACACATAATAATACACAATTTATACCATTAAATCCATTATTTTGCTTTTATTTATGGAAAATGAAACCAAAACCAAAGATGGAGAAAAGGGTATCAAATAACAGAAGAAAATGATTCGAACACATAAAAGAAAGACAGGCCTGTTGGACTGTAAGAGGGCGAGTTTAAGGGGACCAGATTGGAGTCCAAGTCCTCTGAGTATAACTGAGCCGCTTTTGGGACGTCCTTGTGTAATTGCAGCATCCACCTAAACGAAGCCGCGGTCTTCTTCAATCTCTCTCTAGAAAATCTCTCTTCAATTCAAACCAGAGAGACCCCCTTTTACTAGTTTGCCACTACAAACTGTACGACGCCGTTTTAGACATTTTTCCAAAGAAGGACTTTTAAGGCCCATGGGCTACTACATTGGATGTTCAACTGATATAGCCCATTGGATTTCATACATCAAGTCCATGGTTGTATGAGCTTGAAGGAAGGACAGAGACACGAGTACGACATGAAATGGGCTCAGAAATAGGACATGGATACAAAAAAAAATATTAATAATAATTTTTTTATTATTTTATTAATACAATCCTGACTGAAATTACTAATTATTTTTTTTGTTTTTGTTTTTGTTTTTTTAACAGCCGATTCTTTTATAAAATATAATTACAAAATTATTTTGTTGTATTCTAATATTTAAAACGTATTATTACCGTTTTCCCAACTACATTCGCGTCTTTAATACACCGCACCCAGAAGAAACTATTGTTGGTGCTTTCTCGATTATGATGTTATTCAAAACTGAAAGAACAAAACTATAATGGCAGAGAAACAATGGCCAACCAAATGATGTTAAAAAACAAAATTATAAGGGAGGCTACTAAGGCACTAGAACTAGATGTCTTCAAGTGCCGTGCAAAGAAGGCATGCTTTCATGTGTAATCCAATGGCATAGAGACAGATACAAATGCTCACTTGATTATCACATTAAATGTCCATCATTCTTGAAATATACAAATGTTAATACTTTGCTAGAGATATATAAAAATTACTTGCATAATTTCCTAGGCCACGCGAACAAAACTGTCAATATTTCCTCTCGCGCCTGCATTATTGACAACCACCCATGGATGAAAACTCTAGTATCTCTTTTTGCAGTCTGTTCAAACATGGAAAATCATATAGAGTCTGACATTAATCAATTCTGACTGATTTGATGTGAGTGCAATCCCAATCAGTCGAAGTTGTCCAACTGTCGGACTCCCTATCACGACTCTACAAGAAATCATTGACCCCAACTCATTTGATCATTTGTAGTCAATTCCATCGACAAAAACAACCAATGAACCAACCACTATTTCTGCAGCATGATCTGAGAACCATTCTCAAATATATCACACCAAATTAGCAAAGTGACAACATAGTTACTTATGCATACTAGAGAGTACTTAAAAGGGAAGAACATATACAATGCTACAGATTAAGAATGATTCAGAGTCCAATAAATGTCCATATGTAACATGCACCAAACCCTGTTAGAAAATGAATGATTGTATAAACTAGCTCAGGTCAATTACTGTCACTTGTATCAAAATGCAACTCACTTGTTCATGATCTGGATATAAACAAATGAGTTCGACTTGAATTATCATCCAATCAAATTGAAAAACCAGCAAGATGGGCCAAGGCGAGAAAGCATGCAAATAAACCTGGTCCTCAAAGTGATTCTGGGAACCACAACATACTGCATTTCATGCTTCGGAACACAGTTGCATAATAAGTTATAAATTCCAGGAAGATCCATGGTGGGAAGAGAGAGAATGTGTTGCATAATTTAAGTTATGAATTCCAAGTAGATCCATGGTGGGAAGAGAAAGAAATGCTTTTACGTCAACACAGGAGACTACTGTATCTTTTGGTTCATTTACAAGTCATGTAACCAACAAGCAGCTGCCAAGCTCCTTAAAAAAAAATTATTGCAAGTTCAAAAATTTCATGTAACAATACCCACCTCTACATAAACATAACAAGGCCGGCCTCACATTGATCCAAATAGTACTAGGACTTAATATTTTTTTAGCTAGGTAAGCACGTAACAAAAAATACATATTTTCATTTACAGATGTGATTCTAAATTACAAAGGAAAAAATAAATTACTAGCTACGCTGAAATTACTGAAAAGTCTTTCCAAATTCAGCTAGAAGGATCTTGGCAATATTCACATACCAGAAGTTCGCTGTCAGAAGCTTGATGCTGCTGCAGGCAAACAACAGTTCGATCAACCTAAAAGGAACCTTTAAATGCTTTTGAGCGATAATGCCGGCCCTCTAACCTTGCTTCAAGCAGCTTTGCTCTCAAGGTATTCTCTTTTATTCCCGTGGACAATTTTGAAGAAGATTCGGATACCTCAGGAGCTGGAGATATGAATCTTGACACCCTCTGTTGCACTGGACTAGCATGACCTGGAAAGGGCTGACTACAAGAACCTTCCATGCATTTACTCTCAGTATGCGGTTTTCCGCCTTCCAGTGATGAGGAATTATTCACATGATTTGAGTTCAATCCATGGACCATGACTTGCTTATTCTTTCTATCCAGCGAACATTCTTGTGCAACCTCACCCGTTTCCAGATTTTGGGAATTGCTCACTTCAACTGAATTCTCTCTTCCCATTTCTCCCTGTTCCCTAACCACGAGCTGAGTCCTGTTTCCATTACATGACATGGCCCCAGCCATATGTTCTTCAAATTGCATTTGCAAGCCGGATGGATCACGACCTTTGATAGTATCTCGTGAGCGGACCTTTTTCTTCGTATGATTTGGTTTCATTAATTCTTCAAGAAGATTTTCTGGAGCAATATCTCCTTGTTGTTTGGAATCACCATTGTTATGCCTTCCACTCAAACCCCTGTTTAATTCGAAACGATGTGAATCACTGCCGGTAGAATATTCATCATCCACATTTGGAGCACTTGCAGCATCTTTTAAGTGGAAGGACTCCAAGGACTGTCTATGTAAGCTATTTCCTTTTGGCCTTCTTGAGGATAAATCATCATTATCTCTGCAACAAACAGATCGCTTGGCTCGAAGAAATGTTTCAATTTCGGAACTCAATTTGTCCAAAATTGGGTTCTTTTCTGCAAGGTTGCTCTGAGATTCTGCCAGCTTCATCTGCATCCTCTCATCTAGCCATGCTTCTGAAATATGGAGAACCAATCGATCAGGCTTTTCCCCACCAAAGCGATCCTTGTCAGACTTGTATTTAAGGGAACGCACCTCGTGTTCATAATCTCTTATTCCTTTAGCAAACTCATCACACAAGTCTTCCAACAATATTCTTGCTTTTTTCTCTCTTCCAAATTCTTTCAAAACAGCAGAGAAGGAAGATTTTGTTTCGGATAGCTCTCGAGCTAGCTTTCGATGAAGGCTTTCTGATTGCTTTCTTAACTTCCTCTCATCTTCCAGCTCTTCCCTCACTGATTGAACTGCAGCTTTCATTCGGTCTTGTTCCTTGTTCTTCCTATAAATTTTATCCTCAGATGCTTGCTTAACCAATTCATCAATTTCCTGATGTCTTGTTTTCTTCTCTTGAAGCAACTCTTTGATTTGCGCTTGTGAATGATCCAGTTCCCTTTTCAGTGCTTTCACTAGTGATACATTAGATGCGTGCTGTTCTTCAAGACTCCAGATCCGATTAAGTATTTTTAGTAATTCCGTGGATGTTTTAAGACTAAAAGTTGACTCCCCACTTGGACCCTTGAAGTCCAAAGAACTAGTTGGGGTGACAGCAGGGTTATAAGGTGCCACCTGTGAGGAAACAACAAAAGGTTTAAATTTCTTCACCTGCTATAAATTAGATGAAATAGCCTTCGATTGGCGGACTGAGTGAAGGGAAGCATTACAAATGGGATAACCAGAGCAGTAAACAAATCCAAATTCAGTGAATATTGTATCTAATATGAGTACATTGACCTTGATAAAGAATTTATTCCCCATAAACATCATCAGTTATAATAGACCATCCAGACCAGCAGAAACATTTGTTTAACAAAAATGGTCAGAGAAATCTTAACAATTCCCAAAAAACGTCCAAATTTGTCAGATCATGGCCATTCATTTCTTCTCACAATCACCCAAATAGGAATATCTAATGGTGAGGCCATCACTTTATTTATAGGCATGCGATTAGTTACAATGCTCAAGAGTTAAGATAACTGATATATAAGACTTAAAATGAGATGCACTCACAAATAAGAATTCATGAACAGAAACTACACCACAATTCTTCTTATAATTGGAATGAATGATGCAGAAAGTCCAACATAACAATCTAGTCAGATAAATGGCATCCTTGCTGCTGTAATTACAATTATAAAGGTAACTTTTGAGTCAGTTGACGCATTTTAGTTTTTACACCGCAGCTCTATCAACCTACGTTCCTATACTGAATTGATGTAGGACAAATTTTTGGTATGTGACTGGATAAGGGTGATAGGTTTTGATAAATTAAAGAAAGAGAAAATTTGTCATGACATCTCACTTCCACAGAACAAGAAGAGTCACACCTTTTAATCTAAATTGTTGTGAAATCACAAAAGAAGAAGGTTTATTCAGTCTCACCTCCAACTCCTTCATTTCCTCAAAAGAGAAGTTACAGTCCTATAAATAGGCAAAACAAGAAGATTGCATAACTTGGGAGGATTCTTACAAGCTAATTATTTTGATTTAAATAACCTTTTAGGTCATGCAAAGAAGAAAAGTAGCAATCTATTAAGGAGGTTATCTTAAGAGTAAACAAGTAAACCTTTTAGATCTAGAAAACTAATTGACGAATACCCTTGATATGTGAAAATCACAAAAAAATCCTCATGCTAATTGAGGTTGCAGGCTGATAATAAAGCTTTCATCATGTTGTACCAGAATTTATTTACTCCAAATAATTTCATTAATGTCCCAAGAACAAGGATTTGAGTCTGAGGTCATTCACTTTGCACATATTATGCCAAATTTAAAGTCTAGTCTCTCCCTCCAAGCATCCTTGATTAGGGGAACAAAACATTGGGTAATGGCCCTTCTGGTGATCCCAAAATCCCAATTCATCAAAATATAAATTTTATGGAATGGAATGACTATCATCAATATAGGCTCATTACAGTATGATTTACTTTAAGACAGGAATATGCGGGCCTGCAGACAGCCACCCATCCCAAAAAGAAAATCAAAAATCAAAAAACCAAAAATCAAAATACTTGAGAAAACAAATGACAATTTTAATTAAGGGACAAAGTATAGAACTACCTAGTGCTAACTATTTGGGGTCACTTAGTGCCCAAATATTTGTTCGAATAATCTCAGGATACATATTCAGGAGAGGTTCTACACTAGTTGCCAGTTATCCAACACAACCCTCTTTGTTTTCTCGAGCCTAATATTGGTTGTTCAAAGGATACACACTAAGAGCAATGCAGCAGAGTTGAACCATATATATTAAACAACTTTAAAAAAATAGCATGTAGAACAAGACACAAATATATATATATATAAGTAATTTCATGATAGATACTGCATCAAATAGTTTATTTATTTTTTATTCTTAAGGAATTCTCCCTGACACAAAATAAAACATTCCAAACAGGACATGCTATGGAAAAAGCGAAACAAAATAAAGGCTTCTTAGATTAGATTTTTTTTTTTTTTTTTTTTTTTAAAGGAACATTGTTTTGACAGGATAAAACCAAAGATATTGTTGCTTTGGCATTCCTCCTGTTCTCGTGGTAGCCATCATAATTGTATTCTATACCACACAAAAACTTTCAACATGGTTTGGCTTTCAGGTTGAGAGAGAGAGAGAGATTACCTCCAATGAGCTACCATAACTTGTGGGAGATACGGGCTGTAGAGCACAACCATTTCTTTCAACCAGTCGATGGTGTTGAATCAATGATGCCGCAACATGTCTTCTCCAGCTACCTGCACTTGCTGGCTGGAACAAGCAATGGGGGAAAGATCAGCTCAAGTGGGAAATGTCCATCCATGAGGGTAAGTTTCATGGGCACCAAAAAGTGAAGAACACCCTCGTATCATGAAATGTTCCCTACATGGAAGTATGGAACACTTCTTGAATGGGTCATAGCCTAATAATCAGTGGTGGATCCAAGAATCTTTCCTTGAGGGCCAACATACATAATCCACCAAGTTTAAGTGTCCAAAAACAAAAATATATTCTTATCATTTTTGTTGCAAGATATGTCTCGAAATAAATAAAATCATACATCATATTAAAATGTTTCTTACTCTAAAACTTAATTTGAATCAGTCCTATTATTTCTATGGAAGAAAATTTAAAATAACAAAAAACAACTACTGAATTCTCTATGAATCTACAACTCCCCAAACAATAAGAAGACCAAATAAATCCAAAAAAATAACTTTTCAATCGAATTAGAAACCACCAAAACTAAATATGAGCGTAACATCACTACCACTACAACTATCCTCTTGGACCATATATGTAAGCAACTAAATTAACAAGAATGTAAGACAGCAGAGTAAAAACCCAAACCACAAAATAAAATTTCCCTAAAAAACATAAACATTTGTACTTAAAAAACCATAATCAAACGTTAACAAATTTGTGATTCAAATGTGAACCAATCAATCATAGCACCAATATAATCACAAAATTAAAGTTGATCCAGTAGTAGTACCTGGTCTAGAGGAGTATCAGGAGTTTCAACCACCCTATTAGGAAGCTCGAAACCCTTATCTTTGTGGCGGTGGTGGTGGCTAAACCTGGCACCACCTTTGCTCATTTTGAGGACCTTGAGGTGGGGCAAAACCTCCCAGAGGTTGGCACCGAGTTTTCTAGCAGAGAAAGCGGTGGTGATGGGCAAGGTGAGATCTTCCCTGATAGGACCATCAGGTTGAGTAAACCCAAGTCTCCATTTCGGTGATGGTGTACAAGTACCCAATCTTTTCCCTACCAAAACCCCGCGTTTCAACTTTATCCCCATGAATTCCTGCTTTTTCCCCCCTCTCTCTCTAACTTTTTCTTCTCTCTCCATCTCTCTCTCTCTCTCTCTCTCTCTCTCTAAATTTCAATTTTCAAACCCAAGTCTTCATTTGGGTGCTTGTATTTAATTTTCTCATTTCTCTCAATTTCAAACTCTAAGTTGCTTCCATCTATCACCCATCCCTCACTATCTCCCTCCCTCTTTCTACTTGAACTTTCATTTCTCTCTCTCTCCAAAAATCGAAATTGTTTTTACTCTATCAACCACATGTATCTCTCTTCTTTATGATAAAAAAATTCATCTCTTTCTCTCTCACCAACATGTATTTCCTCCTTCCATGTTGGCTCGCTGTCTCCCTCTCTCTCTCTCTCTCTCTCCCTCCTACGCAGATGCAGCCATGCTTCGTCAAAAAGTTAGTACTAGGTAGTAGTAGCTAGAGAGTGATTGATTATACTATTTAACTTAGGGGTGTTAATTAATTATGGCCACTGCATATTTGGGGAAGATTAAAAGGGTATGTTAAGCTTTTTAATCATTCGGTTTATATGAAGGCGTGACACTGTGACAGGTAACACCCACCGACGGTCAAGAAGAAAAGATCATCTGCCCTTTGCCAAATTGATTTTGTTGTAGCATTTCACAGTGAATTTAATTTCGGTGTTCCAACACATTTATTTTATATTTTAATACATAAAATAAATTTATTAAAATACAATTTAAATGTATTAAAATAAAAAATAATAATATTTAAAGTAGATTTTGAGATTGTTAAAATATGATTCAATGTCTTGAAGTTTAGAATAAATGTCTAAAAATAAATTTGAAGTTGCTGAAAATTATTACAATACCGTTACCTTATAGATTTGTTACAACTGAAAGAATACAGAATAGGGGGGAGACATGGACATCTAGGGCAGGTAAGGGTTTAGCCTATATCAAAATTAAGGTTCTAAATCTTTAATCTGCCCTAAGTCCAATTTCTGAGAAACCGCCGCATTATACTTAATAGGTTTTACAAATTTTTTGAATTTCTTAGATCATCTCAAATTTTAATAACCTACTGCAAATAAGCATTAAAAGAAAATAAAATGTTATGTTCACATGCCTAAATAATCTAAAGATATAATAAAAATATAAAAAATTATGTATAATTTGATCTTATAGCAATAATATAATCTCATAGGATGAATTCATGGTTGATAATACCATAAATAATCTAATTTTAAATACAAAAGTTATAAATTATTCTTATATTTGGAGTTCTTTGGAATTTTTGAATTTCTATTGTTACTAAAACATTTGCTCAAATTTCGCCCAAAATGAGTTTAGATTCTAAAATTTAAAGCCAATTCGGACAGAAATTAGATTTATTGGGTTAGTCCCATGATCCCATCCCTAATGCATAGACACATTATACGGGGTATTGTACTATTGTATTTGTGGCTAGGGACCTTTGCTTTAGTCTCTTTAGTGGGAGCAACAAATTCTAATGTTGAAGACAAAACGGTATAGATGGTCCAATATGGTTTGTCAGAATAGGACCAGACCAAACCAAAAGTTGTGTGGTCCATAGAATATGAATTTAATTACCATAGCTACTACCATGTGAAAGAACAACATTTGTTGTGCTCCTAACCATAGAAACCCCCCACAGCACCCAAAACACAGAGGTTATTAAGTAGTGAAATTTCTGTCAATCTCTCAGTCATTTCATTGCCAACTGGTTAATTGTTATTCAGTTTTCTTCAAAATGTTGTCTGGGCTTTATTTGGTCAGATGAAAATAATAAATAAAAAAAAAAATAAAATAAAAAAAGAAAATGATAAAATTTATGTCAATCGTTCTTTTATTCCATTGCCAGCTTGTTGATTTTTGTTCACTTTTCTTCAAAATATTGTAGAGGCTCTGTCTGGTTAGATGGAAATAGTAAAAATTAAAAAAAATTAAAAAAGAAGAAAATGAAAATTTTCTGAATAGGTGTTTGATCAGCAAGAAATGAAAATTTTGAAGAAAAATTACTTTTTATAACCACTTAATTTTTTCATACACTTTTTCTTCACAAAAAAAATACCAAGTTTATAAGTTTCATGTTATTGAGTAATTTTTTATAATTTAAAAAAAAAAAAATTCATGCTAATAAAATATAAGATCCTTTCTTCACTGTCATTCAGAGTTTTACTTGGGATTAAAGAGGATAAAACATGTGGTCCAATTGTTTTTGATACAACGTTATCAAATTTCCATATTTGTATCCAGCATAGCCAATGATGAGAGTATTGTCTTTATATCCTTGCAGACCAGAGCAATCACCAGCACATCTCACTTAATTCTCTGGGTGACACTGACACACAATTGAAGATTGGGTCTAACTAACTACCATATTAAAATTCAAGGTTGAATTTTAATTTACTTGCTCGTATGTTGTCTAACTAATTTTTAAAGGACATTGTAAGATGTCTTCTTATTCATGGGCAGGTTACCTATTTAAGCATTACCCATGTCCCTAATCTGTTAAGTCCGTGATACAACTTCCCATCAAAATTCATTTCATCCATTTAGCCCCATCTTTGTTTTTTGTTTACATGTGACTCAATGATGAGAATTTTAATTTCTTTTTTTGTGATTGTGATTATTTTGGGTGTGACAAATTTTTTTTCCGACAAGGGACGAATTCCAATGTCATTTGTCAATTTTAATCTCTGGAGTAAACTTGAAATGGAACGGATTCATGTTAAGATATATATATATATATATATATTAATGTCTGGATCCGAATTTAAATCTAATCTTATGGACATGATCCATATTCAACCTGCATATTTTGAACAAGATCCAAATGGTGTAAAGGTGATTTATTTGGTCCGGATAAATACCAATCTATTTACGCATTATTCGAATCCACACCCTGTTCAAATCTGTGATAAAACTTTCAATAAATATCCATATTCGTTGCGTCTTTAATTTGGATTCAAAACTAAAATCTGAACTCATTAAAACATAGAGTTCAGAGAAATCGAATCTCGGGCCAAACTCGCTCCATTTCAAGCCCTATTCTCTCTCCGGAGTCAAATTTAAGACATTCACGTTACACATGTACTGGTGGTTCTTAAAAGCATGATATTCGCTGCTCACAATAACTTTTTGTTAGCATTTGATACGCATGGTCCATGATTGATGCCTTTCGTTTTTGTCTTGTCACATGCAACCTGGTAAATCCTATTAAAATAAAAACCAGCATGGTACCGTGGGCCCAGAAAATCGTAGCCAAAGCAATCATCCTTTGGGCTACGGTAACAATGGGCTTTGCTCAATCTTTCGACAATGCTAGGACAGGATGAAGATCCAGCCCAAATAAAGCAATCTTCCTTACCAATTTTATATCTCAAAGGGCTGCACATCGAGCCGGAACAGGCCTTGAGATTTTTGGATTACGGATGTAGATCCAACCCGAATAATTAAACTTGAGGCCCAAATTAGCCCACCAATCATTCAGTTGGAGAACAAGCCCACTAGAACATCACTATTCAATCTGCTGACAAACCACATCACAGAACAATACTCCTACTCATCACAAATTTCCAGCACCATTGATACATTTATGGATAGTTTAACACAACAGAAACAATATTATGGCTATTTTTCACCATCTATGTGACGATCCAGATGTATCTAGTCTAAATGGTTGAACATTTTCTGTTGCACCAAACAATGATCCCTAAGAAAAGATATGCAGAACCATAAAATGAATTATGATCAGTTTTTTGTACCCGAGCGCATCCCGAAATTTTCTAGCCAAAGGGCTGCAAAAAACAGCAGTTTGAAAGAAAAAAAATGAGAAGATTCAGGAATGTAAGTATTCATGCATGAAGAGGAATGATATACTTGCCATAGGATACTGATGCATTATGGGATTGAAAAGTCTTACTTTTACACAGCTTCTTTATATACAACTGAAACCACTTATTTTTATAAATAAATAAAAAAAACATAAGGAAATTATAAATCATTGATAGTGTAGAAACTAGAAAGTATAAATGGAACCAACTAAAACATTAATAAGCAACAACTTTTACATCTTTAAAAGCACAAAAAAAAAAAAATGAAACAGTAGTGCAAGGAAAAGCCAGAGAAACAGTCTTGTACTTCTATCAATCCATGCATTTCTAAACGCAAAGAATGAATAATATTCGCAATGAGCAGATCATATGTTTTCTATAAACCTTTACAAATATGGACTTCATAATAACTGAAAAGATAAAAGGCAAAAGAAGAAGAAGCAGGGAGTGCAAAAAGAATTTGTCAATACCATCACATCCTATTGAGGAAAAAAAATCAGGGAATGATGCCAAGCCTAGGTTCAAAGCAAAAACCAGTAAAGAGCTGAAGCGGGAATCTCTTTGCCACTGGGCATTTTTGTGACCATTTCCATTGCTTCTTATTCATGTCAAAAACAAGAAGAACAGGTGAGCCGTAGCTCTGGATGTATACGAAGTTATCTGTACCACTGCTAGCAAAAACATCATCAAACTCCCCAAATCCTTGAAAAAGCTTATGAGGCATACGGGCAATCTCTTTCCATTCCTTCCCATTAAGAATCCAGATGCCAATCCCCTTGATTATGTCGGGCCGATCTTGTTTTCCAATCCCTCCCACCATTACCAATTTCTCCTTGAGGTTCATCAGACGGCCACATGTAAGAGAACAGGGCACTGGGATAAAACTTTTTATTAACAAATCATGGGATGAGTGGCTTGTGAGGTTATAACTGATTAGGCCATGGCGACTCTCAGGCATGCGACCCCCAGTGGAGTAAATCAAGAAGTACAAAATTCCATCACATATCACACTCTCATCACCTGCTCTCCACCCTGTCAGAACCTCTGTCAATGGGGTCAACCACATCATAGTATCTGAGAAATATATATGAATTGAGAGATTCCACTGAAAAAAGTTTCCTGGAACTTGCTTAGATTTCACAATCGAGACATTGTAACCATGAGATATTCTGTCAACTGATATTGCCAGCGCACTGTAATCAGAAAATTTAAAACCTGGAGGCTCCTCCAGCTTCTTGAAGCATTTGGTGATTGGGTTACAGACATATAGCTTGCTTCTACTATCATTGTCCATGATGGAAACTAAGCCACATGATGAAGAGATGAACCAATTGGACTTCTCAATGCAGGGGATTTCAATGTTGTACCACTTTCGAATTATGGGATCATAGGCATAACCATTTGGTTCATCAGAGCTTGTAAACATAAAATACCAAGGCTTTTGTGGTATGACATGAGAGAAGTTCCACAAAAACCTTCTTGAACTAACGATGTCATGCCATCTTTTACACACACAAGCTGCTCTAATAATGCTTGGAATGGGAAGACAGGATAGAATACGCTCCAACAAGTCATCAGGCAGAATTAAATCCACAGAAACTGTTGTAACTTCTTCGTTGCCTTCATCTCTGAGCTCTTGAAATGAATCATAGGCCCTGACATCTCTCGGAATGTCATCAAGGCAGTGACTGAACCATGATGTCTCCCCCTCCATAATCAAGAAGAGCTGAAACAATCTTAACAAAATAGAAAAATTCAAACCCGTGGACTTGACCTGAAATCATACAGGTAAGTCATCTCATGGGAGGTTAATGTCATTAAATAATAAGCTCATGATGAAAATAGGATCACTTGAAATTATCCTGAATCATTAGAAGATATCAAACCCCGGGACTTGACCAATCCAACTCAAATAACCTGGCAACATATCCAAAATAAGGAAAAGGATGCCATGCATGTCCAATTCAAATAAATTATTCCAGAAGCTTAAGAAAGTAAGCCAAATTAAAAAAGAGCAGATATATTCACTCTTGTTACTCAATATAAGCCTATCATCTAACTAGAATCACAAAATTATTAACATAATCAAATTAAGAAAACCAAAGTCATGCTGCCTCCTTCCACATTCAAAGGTCAGAATGGAATACATATAATAAATGAATACACAATACAAATTGTCCAGTGAGCTTATGATTAAAGCAGTAATTGCTTTCAGATTCAATAATTAAATCACTTTCAGATACATATACATAAAGATTGTACTAGATAAATAAGCATAACAACATCCCCACAAAAATTAAAAAAACAAATTCAACCAATACAACCTTAAAAGCAACCAAATTGCAGGACTTCACCCAAACAAAAGTTCAGATAACAATGGTTTATAAGATTAATGAAGAAAATTTTCTATCTCAAACAAGAGAAATGAACAGAGATTCAAGAGAAACAGGTATTATCTTTAATATGAGATGAAACTACCTGAATACAGAGATGGAGGTAATATGACTATGAGATTAAGAAGAAAAAAAAAAAACATATGCATTACTATTTATGGATTTGAGAGCTTATGTAAATTCAGATCACATTAAGTACATCAGTAACCAAAGAGGGAAAAACATTCAAAGAGCACAATACAAAAATATTATATAAAAAAAAAAAAAAAAAAAAAAACACACATTTGACCAGATTTATTGCCACCACGAGTCTATTAATTCAAACACAAGCCCTGTTATTATTATTTAAAAATAAAAATCAATTTCATAGTTCACAGCACCAAACCCTAAAGAGGTTTGTGATGAAAAATAATAAAATAATTTTATGTTAGGTAACAGATGGACCATATTGAGCTTTCAATCAAGCAAAAGACTAATGCAATAATAACTAAAAGAACACAACAAATTGAAACACAAATAGATCAAATGAGAAACCCACAAAGCATTTTCTCAGAGACAGAAAGAACACTTAAATAAATGAAATAAACCCAGTAACATACCTTTAATGCAAACAGAGATGAGTGGTGTCTACCCTTTTCCAGCTGAACTGGCGAGATGGGTTGAGAAAGCTCAAGATTTGGAGCAAAATGGGAAAAAAATATGATGAACACCGAGTGTAGCCCTTGTTTCAGATAGTATGAACATTGAAGATATATAAAATTGTTGTCTTACAGATTATTCCAAACAAATGGCGAAGGGTTCTGAAATGGGTCGGTTTTGGACTAAGCGATAAATGTTTCCTATGCAACACACCGCATGTATAGAGAGGGTATGAGCTTCTTAAATTTTCTTTTTCTTTCTTTCTTTATCCTTTTTTGTTGCTTTGATGTGGAAACAAAAGCGACAGGTAGTGGAATCAAATAGAAAGGCGGTTTCCAAATACTCTGCTGGAGAGAGAGGGAGAGAGAGAGAGAGGGAGTGGTGTTTTTCAAGGGATTAATGGATTTTAATGGGGGAGGAAGAGAGAGAGCATTGGGATTTTGGCCACAATCAAAAGGACACTAATGCTGTCCTACTCAACACACCTTTCATATTTTTTACCTTTTTTTTTTTTTTTTTTTTCCTCTCCTAATTCCTATTGTTTTATTTTACTTTTAATTTAATTCTTTTCTTATTTTTTAAGTAACTAAATAAACGGTTAACACTCTTTTTATTTTGTTAATTCTTACATCTTCTTAGGAACTTTATCGATCGTCTATCATTTATTGTACGTATTCATATTATTTTTAAAATATTAAAAAATACGTAAGTACACTCATACATATCACATTGTTATGGGTTGAGGTAGAATTGCTCAACTTTATTTTAGTTTGTATATGGTTGAATTCCTTTCTTCTATTACTTTCTTTCCTTCAAATTTCTTTTATTTCTCTAAACTTCTTTTCTTTATGAGCAGGAAAAGAAAAAGAGAATAGGGTATATACTTTCCTAACTCTAACAAGGTCTACTACCTTCTTTTCTTCAAGTTTCTTTGAATTCTCTGAACTTCTTTTCTTTATGAGTAGGAAAAGAAAAAGAGAATAGGGTATTTACTTTACTAACTCTACCAAGGTTGCCCTAAAGGCCAAATTGGACACTCTACTTTTTCTTCTCACATTTTTTTTAGATGGTGGAAGAAAATAGTGGTGGTCCATTTCTTGTTATTTTAATGCACTATGACCAATAGCCCTTCTTTACCTAACCAGGTCCCATTTCAGAGATTGGTGGCTAACTGAATCTCAACTCAAGTTCCATCCATCGATCTTCAATTTCCAAATTTTCCAAACCTCCTTTTTCTTTTTCTTTTTTCTTTTTTCTTTTTTCTTGGGATGAAATTATCCTCACAATTCAAAAGAATACTACATAACTCTGTAATTTTTAATTGGGCACCAAGTGATTCGCAATAACAAACCAAATAATTAAAATAAAAAAATACCCAAATTCATAAATGATTTCATCGATCTTCTATGAGTACTTTTAACCCTGTTTGCAATATTGATTCATCGATAAACCTTTAATGTTTGTATAATTAACTTAACATGCTTGACTATACCAAAAACAAATAAATTTGAATATAAAACTCTACTATTTCCTGGTAAGTATTAAATCATCAAAACAATATAACAATCGAGTAAATGCATGGTGATTTAGGTGTAGAATCATTATGATTCAATCCTCCCAATTTCTTGCAAATTCTCAATGAACATGAAAATGGAAAGGCAAAATAATTTTTATATATAGTAGTAAAGTCAAGAGATATGTATGCACAAGCATAAAGATAATAATATATGAAGTATATGTACTAATGTTAGTTTATCAATGAGAATATTCTTCTTCTTTTTTTTGTTTTTTTTTTTCGGTATCAATGACAAATTAAAAAACCTAAAAACTCTAAATTAAGCACAATTTTTGGATCTACAAATCTCAACACATTTGGTACATTGTGTAGATCATAGTGGATCATTGGTTTGGGAAAGTTGTCATCGAGTCAATACCAACTTCTATACTTTGGATGAAAAGCATATATGTAGATTGTGATTAACATAGTTAACAATTTTTAAAAATAATTTAACTAGTGCAGGGTGTAAGATGAGTAGGAAGTCAAATCAACTTTTCAAATCTACTTTTGATATGTTTCTCCATACAATTGGTGATATAAGCAAGGGTTGTCATTTAATTTATTGACAAAGATTTGCCTTATAAATTTGTACTTATGGTTACACTTCTACATCTTCAATAAGCACGAAGTCTCGTTATAATAGTATCATGTTGTACTATGAAAAATATCTGCAAACACTTTGTACATCAAAGTGTTGTTACAACAGAGAATCTCAACTACAATTAGGTCACTATTAGGTAAATTGCTCAATAAAAATCAAGATTCAAGTGGCCACAAGTATTGCATATGTTGACCTACCCCACTGCAAATGTTTATTTAATAAGATGACCTATTTGTGCATTATTAAAAGGTAAATAAGACATTTCAATCTACGCACAGCATGTTGCTTTATTTTTTTTTGTCTCTCTTTTCTTGTCTAGGTCAGAAGCCTCCATAGTATATAAAACAAGAGAAGGAATAGAACATGTCCAATAGGATATGCGATCCAATGCTAATCTCAATAAAACACAAGCAATATAAAACACAACGGAATATAAATATTAATTTACCCTTTCACTAATGCATATAATATATATAAAACCATATGAAATTTATAAAGTTCTTTATTTTAAATAATGCACGCAACATTGTCAGAATATGGGGCATTGACCTTAAACATTTGGTATCAAAGTGAATGTACTAAAGAGGACTAAAAGCAATAGGTAGTGACAGCCCCACTAGAACACCTCTTTCCATCTCATGCACATTAAGTCATGCATCACTTTCAATATTCCTCCCCAAAACTAGTTCAGAAAAATATGTTTATGCTTTGTCTTGTTATATATGTTTATTATATCAATATGTTTTGAAAACCCACCATATACATTTCAAACATGAAACATTGAGAGAGATGTTAACCAAACATCTGAAAGTGATGCTTTGACACCTCACCAATCCAAATTAAATAAATGTGTAAAGCTTACATTAAATGTGAAATATTGTAGAAAATACCTCCACATGTTGAATCATGTGTCAATTAAGAATTACCATGATAATTGAATTACATTTAACTTTCTAGATTTACTTTGATAACTAACTTCTTTGGTCAAACTTACTCTCAACCCCCAAAAGATTCTAGAAATGAGGAAACTATACGAAGGAATTATTCAAACCAAATGCCTAAATCCTAAAATTGCTCACAGTCCAAAATATAATCACATAACATTTTTTTGGTCTATATTTAAAGAAATCATTTATATGGAGTGGATAAGCAAACTAAGGTGTCAACCTCTACAAAATCAAGCAAACATAATCTAGCATAAGCTTAAAATTAGTGTTGTAATACAAAGTTCAAAAGTCAGATACATTTGACTATATTAATGTGAGTGGAGGAGATATGTTCCACTCTCAAATTAATTACTTATCATTTTTCTTAATTAAACAAGCTAATGTTTAATCATAAGAAAACTCTCATAAACCACATTTTGAACCCCAAACTCAGATAAAATATGCACATAATTAGTTTGATTAAGAATATGTTAGTTGACGTGAGAATTTAAAGTAAACCATTTTCAAAAACTTGAATGGTGTTCTTACCCTTGTAGGCCAATCACTGGAGGTGATTTTTAAAAGCTTACAACAATTTGATCTCTTCTTTTTTTTAACTCTTTCTCCAACCTTGATTCTCCACCCAAATGCTCTTCACTTCAATGACCCCATTAGAGTTATCTAAGCCTTTTGATTTGTGGAAACCAAATGCGTAGAGAGAAAATGTATATATGTGAATATATATATATAGAGAGAGAGATATATATATAAAGGCTCTCTTGAGATGATGAATTATATGCATACCCTAAAATGAGTTCATAAAGACTTTATAATAAGTTGTTAAAGGCTTAAGGAGCATTAAGGCGTCAAAGACCTTCTGGAGCCTAAGCGCAGTATAAGGCGCAAGCTATATCAAAATAAGACGCGTGTATATAATAATGCATACTTAAACATATATTATTATATATATTTATAATCAAGTAGTAATTGCACTTAACGTAAGTGGTGAACCATAAATTTATGAATTTTGTCAAATATTTCATAGGGTTAAAAAATACTATATATAATATAGAACCCTTTAATTTAGTAGTAATTAAGTAAAAAAGAAAATGATATTAATAAATAATTAAAAAAATACAAGATAGGCCTTTTTTGAGCCCGGAGCCTACTAAAAAGTACGAGCCTGAGGGCTTTATGTGAGCCCGATTGAAGGGGCCTAGCTTATAGTAAGTTGAGGCACTCTAGCTGAGCGAGCCTGTGATTTTTTTAGAGCTTAGGCGCGCCTTTAACATCTTCCATTCACCTTCTCGAGTTCGACAACTCATACACTATCTACACATCATTGGGCCTACTACTCTAATATTGTAGGCTAGAAGTGAGGATCATAAATTAAGCAATCACTCTTTAGCTACAATAGATTCATCAATTGGCCCGAACATCTCATGACCTAAAATTCAACCCATTAATCAAAATTAATATCACTATATAATAATGACTGAATTGCAATTAGAGAATGGTTAGGCCACTTTGTTAATTTACATAATAACCCCTACACGCGTAATTAGCAAATGATTAAATGTCATCATTTCAAATGCTTAATTAATACTTTCATTTCCCTCCTCAATTAATTTTGTTTAATCACATAATAACAATATCAAGTGTTTGGATTTACTGGTCATCATAAAATTAAATACAAGCGTAGATATAATCTTAAGAGTGAGTTTTAAAATCAATGATTTAACAAATACTCAAATGATCCTGATTTTAGACCCTAAGATCTGCCGAATAAATCAAAACAATTATTTAACCATGACAATAATCCATCTCATAGTTGAAAGCTATTGTGCCATAACAAAAGATGAAAAATAAATTGATTTGCTGACTGTTGCAATTTTTCAACTCATCGTTGATCCGTTCCATTATTATTATTATTATTTTTTTGTGACTTGAAACCCTTGCAACTATCTATCCTTTAAACTTGTAACTAACCCGCACCCGACTACTCACCCCGACCCTCCAATTCTTCATAAATAAAGAGTCCGACTTTTATTATAATCATTCAGAGGATAATCATTCATCCCGGGTTCATTTAGGCCCTTATATGGATACTTATTACATACAAGAATAAACCTGTTGAATTATTGGTCACCACAGTCAATCTCATAAATTTATCAATACATATTATTCACCATATATACACAAAAATAAAACATTGAGGTTTGCTATGGTGACTATGGATAGAAATTCCCCTGTTGCTTTTTATTTTTTAATTTGTTTTTTATTTCTTAAATACCCTTAATTTTTTTTTTTTACTTCTTTTCACTGTGTTATAAATACCCTTATTTTGGCAAAAAATTATGATCAGTGTCATGGTGAAAGTGAAAGTAAAGTGTGCCCTTACTTTACAATGACACTGACGGTAAATTTTTTTTTTTTTTTTTTTTACCAAAGTGAGGATACAGTCATGGTGAAAGTGAAAGTAAAGTGTGCCCTTACTTTACAATGACACTGAATGTAATTTTTTTTTACCAAAGTGAGGATACATTTATTGACAAGTAAAAAAGTAGGGTTACATTTAAAGAAGTGGGTTAAAATAGTCTCGATGTTTATAGCCTTACTTTTGTAAAAAAATTACCCTAGGTACCATTATGAAAGTAAATTTACCCGCAATATTTACCAAAGTGAGTCTATATTTAAAGAAAAGGGTAATGAAGTCTCTACATTTATGGTATGTTGGGCTAGAGGGAAGGGTTGAGAAGGGAGGGATGAGAGGAGCCATGCTTGATTGGAGGAAAGGAAGGAAAGGAAAGCCAGGAATGAAGCATTGTTCATTCTTTTGTATTGTTTTATCAATCCAAGAGTGGTGGGAAGAGTCCGTCCAAGAGTAGGAGGAAGAGAAGAGAGAGAAAAACATAACTACCAATACCATCATTTTTGTATTGGATCTAACAAAAAATTAGACATATTTAGGAGTGGTAGGACATTAAAAATAAAAACAACACATATCAGCTACTATAAGGGAGTGGGGCAAGTGTATGGCCAGGAGGCACGTGCTTCTCTCACCTGACTTTGCTTACTACAATATATATACTAAATTTATATATTTTTATATGTATATATGAAAAAATTTATGTAATACCTCCATAAAATTTTTATTTTTTAAAATTATTTCTTAAATTTTATATATATTTTTTTCTTTTTTACTCTTTAAATTCATTTAATTTCTTTTAAAAAATATCAAAATTTTCTTTTTGAATCAAACTCCAATTTTTTTTCCTTTCAAAATTCTCTCATTTCTTTTTCCTTTTAAAATTTTTTTATTAACTATTTTTCTTTTTAAAATTATTCATTAATTGATATATTATTTTGAATAATTTTTCTTGTGTATTTCTTAATTTATAAAATTTATATTTATTATCATAATAATAATAATTATTTTTTTTTTTACGCGGTGTCCATAAATTTAATTTCCACCTCCACCCCGCCTACTATCTAGTCAAATCAAAAAAACCCCTAGAGAAAAAAATAAAATAAAAAAAACCTCTATAAAGATTGGCGTACAGAACATACAAATCCACCGTGAGGATGAGAAGTTATTCGCGTATCCGATTGAAAGGAGTAGGACATTAATTATCAGTACTCCACAAAATGCAATAATTTTGCCTGGAGCACATGGTTTTGAAATTGAGATACATGGGACGTGTCAAAGGGCCAAACGTCAAGTCAAATTCAAAGCAAGCAGTGAGGGCTAGCTAAGGCTAACGTACACGGGGTGTGCAGAATCGGCGCAAAACTCGCGGAGATATAAACAGGGACAGCCACACCCCAAATCAGAGATCGTATCGAATATCATCGATAGCATCACAAGTATTATTATTTACCTCGTGATTTGCATGCAGATCACCGTCGCTTTTGTCACCGTCTGATTTGGCTGACATCAATCAATCACGTCGTCATTTGTGCTGGCATTGGTACACCCGCCAGTATTCCGTTCTCTGTGCTTCCTCAATCTCTCTGCTCTGTCTCCCGCGTCCACTGTTTCACTCACCCTCTCTCTCTCTCTCCCTCTCTCTGGATACAGATTGCATTAGAATATTAGATTCTGTAGTTGAGAGAGAAGCTATTGTAAGCTTGGGCTTCAAAAGACCAAAATTTCAAACCTATCCCAAACACATATTTGAGACAACATTGATATTGGGTCGAGCTCACTTCAGATTTCATCAAGATTAATTGATTCGCCCAATAAAACTTTGTGTTGTTCCTGTTGGACAAACAGTCCTTAGACCGGCCCACCAACAATGTTCCGCACTACATTCTCCACAATGCAACAATTATGTAAATATATTAAATCCTCAATTTATTAAGTGATGTTATAATATTATAATACAATATAATATGTTGTATAAGTGTTATATATCCAATATAAATACGTTATATAATTTTTTAAAAATTGCTGCATAGATACTGTGTTACACTGGTGGTGCACACGATCCTCTAAACAGGAGAGGATCCAAGTTCTTATCCAAGGAATGCAATATCATATTTATGAAAACTTAGAATATGATATACTCTAAAACAAGACTTGCACTCCATTTATTAATCTAAATATCAAATGAAGTGCAATGTTAAGAGACTTTTTTGGAATGCTGATATCGTTTCCCAAAGTCGAAACAACAAAAGCAAAAATTTATGATTCCCGATTTATACATGTTCATTTTTTGGTAGTATATATATTGATATGTAATAGTGGTGAAGTTACAAGCTTACAATACATGTAAAGACATCAGAGTGTTAGAACAGACATGATTGATCCTAATGTTACTTGAGAGTTAAATTTCATATTATAAAATACTAATCTATATTGGACATACATGTTCTCTCTCCTACTGTGAACCTTTTAAGGTAGCAGGCAACAGCAAAATCTTGTGCCAAGTCTATTTAACATGTTCATGCACAAAACAGGGCATTCAAGAAAAATCATTGTGACAATTGCAGTAATCAGAAAAATGCTGTTTTAAGGTTCTCAGACCAAAAAATAGTGGATACTGGGTGGTTTTACTGGCAAAAACACACACGCTAGAGAGATGTTTCAGTCTCAACCCTTACTATTGACATAAGATGAGTAAGTGAATAACCTTTCCACACAATCATCTCAAATTAGATTGACCTACTTCACCATATTTGAGAAATTTCAATACCACATCTTTCAACATGACACAATTTCTCTTTATTTCACTAAATCCAGATATATAAAAACCCTTGTCAGAAAAATAGAAAGAAGAGTTTAAGCAGATCCACAGATAAAGAATTGTGAGTGTAAGGCATGAAACCACTTATTGCTGAGAAAAAGAAGCTCAAATCACTTTCCGAAAAAAAAAAAAAAATAGCTTAAATCTCAGGACAATCTAATATGTGCATATACCTGGATCAGGCAAACAAATGCAACAAATGCAGCTCAACATTCAACTGATCAAGAAAGAAATGGAATAAATACTGCACGTTAAAAGAGTATCAGATATGCATTTCACCAAATATATATATGAAGCAGTACATTATTCAGATACAACAATACTCGACCCTATATTACAGTAACACATCGACATTATATCCAAGGAAAGACACAACAAGAACAATACACTTACATGGCAAAACCTACAGCAGTACCTCCTAAAGAGTTGTTAGACGGTTTAAGACAGGAAGATCTAGATGTTGCAACTCTTGATCGTCTAGTCTTCGATTTCTTCTTCCTTGACAATTTTTTCTCCAAGTCCTTAACTCTTCCAGTAAGGTCGGATATGGTAGTTAACTGTTGTTTCCCTGCCTCAATCAACTTCTCCATCATCTCCCTCAACCTCTCGTTCTCTTCGATCAACTTTCTGTCATTTTCCAACCCCATGTCATTTCTAACGGGAACCTGTTTAAGTGTTGGTGACATGGGAGAAAACTTTCCTCCTGTAGCTTGTTCTTCACCAGATGTTGCCACTAAGACCTCTTCTTTGTCAAATTCAGTTCCACAAGATTCGTCAATCATCTTATCTGTTCCAACAGATAGTAGTTCTGCTCCAGATGGAGTGGACACCAAGACTTCTTCAGCTGTTTCTGTCCCATGAGGCTGGTCAGTTGTTTCGTTTCTTCTACCAATTGATTCGAGTAGCTTTTGATTCTCCTTTCCCATTGCTATTTTTGGATCCTCATTAGATTCTCCAGTTTCCGCAATGAGCTTTTCATCCCCTAGAGAAGTTAATCCATGGATGTCTTCACATTCACCATCATTGATTTTGTTGTCCGGCCTTGCTAACTGAGGTTGAGATTCATCTAGTCTAGACGCTTCCAACCCCAAAGATTTCTGATTGTCTTCTCTCCGTTCTCCATCATGAATATTGTTAGCCAATAATGAGAGCCCTGGCCAACATTCCTCTGGATTTGAAACTTCCCCAAGCCCTTCAAGATTACTGACATCTCCTAGTGATGACACTAGGAATTTCTCAACGTCAAGCTTGGTATCCCCAAGTTCGTCAGCTTTCTTTGATCCAACCTTATCTTCCTCTCCCTTGGCAACTTCCATAGGCTCACTCGAACTTACTTTTTCACTTTCTGCTTCCTCCAGCAGTTCATTTGGCTCAATCTTGTGATTGTGGAGGAATTCTTCATCTTTAGCTGATCCAACCTTCTCCACCACTTCAGCACTGACTAGACCTTCCATAAATGCATCATGTGCCTTCTGTTCAACCATATCCATATTTACAGCTCCCTCATCTGGTTGAGTAGCATCAATTGCCATATTAGAGTCAACATCTCCACCTTGTGAGCCCTCACAAGTGCCACTTTCAATCTGTTCAGTCCTGTGGGGCTCAACAGCAATTTCTTTGTCCAGTACTCCTTGTGGCAGTTCTGGCAACCGATTCATTTCCAAGTCCTTGTCTGCAGATACTGTGTCATCAACTAGAGAAGAAGCTCCCTTCTCCTCCACATGATTGCGAATCTCTTCTGCAGCAGCTGGAAGTTCAGCAGATTGCTCAAGCATTGAATCATTGCAGTTTTGCATCTCTGACATCACCTCTTGACAGACACCAACACCTTCAGCGTTCTCTTCATCATTCAGTTTCATTGCTGGAGCTACTAATTCTTTCATCAGTGGGATTTCATGAACCTTATCCTCGGACTCCTGGCATACTTCTTTGTCGAGCATCACAACCTCTGACGTTTCTGCAGCTTTATCGCTGGATATTGTGTCTATAATACCAAGACGATGACCTTGACAAGGCTCTACCAATTCCATTTTATCATTGTTACCCGCAGAGTCTTTAAGTCCTTCATCTTTTGCTTCCACTTGTTGCTCTCGAATGCAATCTTTATTTGCAGTGCTGGTGTGAGAATCTTCTATGGGTTTAGTGGCGTATACTTCACATTTACTGATAGATAGAGAAGCTAGAGAATCAAGCTTATCCTGAAGGCTTACAAGCTCCTTCGCCACAGATTTCCTCATGTCCCTTACACTTGCATGCAAGCCCTGAGAAATATAAATGCAAATTAAGGATAAGATATTTTGAACACAATAACAATTCAAGAAAAAAGGAAAAAGAAAATCTATGAAGACAACAGTTATGATCCGTAAACTCCCTCAATATGGATACACCATAGGTCAAATTAAACACCATATAACCATCAAGGGTTCAAGCCTTAGTAGAGGCATGTGTGTGTGAGTACTATGAAAAAAAAAAAAAACACCATAGAATCCGAACTACCATTTCAATGACCTCACTATGAAGCCAGAGTGCCTTACTGTTTGATTCTACAAACATATTCAAGCTTAGAAACTTATTGGTTAAGACCCTTTCATGAAGATCCATGTCATGGAATTGATGAGCAATTGAGCATGCTACTACAGTCACTAAAATCTTGCCATCTAATAAGAGTGCAAAAGACAACATGTGACAATATAAAAGTTTAGTACGTATAGATTCAGATTAGTAACATACCTGAACTGTGTCCAGTTTCAGCAGAAGGTTCATTATAAGTTCTCCAATGATCACTTTCTGCCTATCATCAATGTAGCTATCAGAAGAAGACTCGATAGCTTGAATACGACTTCTGATTTCAGTCACCTGCTCCCGAACATGAGCTATCTGTTTCAATTTCTTCAATGGTTCCCATCTTCTCACCTCAAAACCACGATTTGCAGACTGAATAATCACAGCTGCTTCAGCTTCTGACAAGTTCTTCCTTTTTGCATTGTTGGCTTCCTCATATTTCTCTTCTTTCACCTTGATGGCTCCTTTATCCTCTCCAACTGTGAATTCACCATCACCTGATTGAAGTTTGGATGAAGCATCTTTCAATTCAATTTCTTTAGCAGACATTTTATCCTCCTTGTCTAACCCTTTATCCACTTTGAGGTTACATATACCATAATCAACACCGGCCTTAGTAGTGCTCTGGTTTGTCGAGACCTCTTCATGAGAAAGAGTGGGCAAATTATCAGCAACCTGGATCAGAGGGTGAGCCTTAGAATTTTCCTTTCCATCTTGCCCAGTCACCTCAGCTGTCCCAACTTCTTCTTCTTCTTTTGTGTTTGGCTCTGCCTCCATGGCATTCTTTAATGAAGCGTTTGTACACTGCATGTCCTTTTGAGTATTTTCTTTCAAACTTGAGAAGGTGGTAGACTTGTAACTGTCACTAGATAACTCCTGTGTTCCTTTGTCACCAGAAGGACTGGGAGCCTTTTGAGCATAGGTGGAAGACTTGTAACCGTCTCTAGATAGCTCCCGTGTTCCTTTGTGACCAGGAGGACTAGGAAACCTTGAACTAACATTACCATTTTTCCTCCTCGGCAAAGGATCAACTCTCAGACAGACCGGAGGTAGTTTAGATGCCTCCTTTGGTGAAGAGGACTGCCTTTTTGTACTGTTCTCAGAAGGTTCCCTTAGACCACCATCTGCAATATGCTTCACAGGAATACCTTGGGCTTTTCCCTTGGCATCTTCTGAGATGCCCTTTTCCCCATGCTGTTCCAGTTGCTTCACAGGAATCAATTTCTGATTAGCATCTCTCTCCATCATCTTTTGACCAACCTCGCTGCCAAAATTATTGTTACTTGCTCCAGGTTGGCCTGTTCCATCCTCATTGTCAGGAGGTGCCACAGGAGTAATCTTGAAATTGGAAGGTTTTTCTTCAATGGATTCTTCGTCCTCCGTGTGAGCTTTTCTTTCCACTTCACCAGGCTTATAAGGCATCCAAAATACTGGAAATGGCAATTGACTACTGTATTCATTTTGCTGATATTGAGTTCTCTTCTCATCTCCAACATGCTTCAGAGATCCAAGGTGGTTAATATCAAGTGGAAACCATCTCCTCCAGACACTTGGATCCTGTCCAGAAGATTTCGTACTTCTGGGAGAATTTGCATCATGAGGATCCTCCTCCCTGTCCTCCATCTCCACTTCAACAGGTTTTCTGTGCTCCCTGTTCTTCATGTAACCAGGAGGAATATACACAACTGGATACGGATAATTGTTAGACTCAATAGGGAGTACAGAATTACTGTTTTTCTTTTCCACATCAGGGCCCTGTTCTTCGATCTTTACGTTTGAATTTTTCCTGTTGCACGAGTGGTTAGGACACCCACAGCAGTGATCTCTAGGCCCATTCTTATCATACTCGTATCTCGGCTGCTCCATTGAGTAATGTGGAGGAGGAGCATGGTGAAGAGGATAGGTTTCGGGGAACATAGGGTAACTTCCATGATAGTGAAATGGGGATGGCGGTGGAGGAGGATAGTGAGGTCTAAAACCATAGTGACCAGGGAGATAGTTATGATTACAACATCCGTGACATCCCACTGGAATGGAATAGCCATAGAAGCCACCTTGAGGCCAGGACTCATATGTTACTGGAGGTCGGGCTACATCCACTTTCATTTGAGGTGGAACAGCTTCGAAGCTTGGATAATAAGGGTGTGCGCAAGGCATCTGATTGCTCTGGTGAGGATAATATGAGTCCGTGCTTCTGGAAACAGGATACATTCTGCCACGCTATTGAAGCAGAACCACCAGATAATTTACTTCTCCAAGACTTCTAATGCACACTAGGCAATCAGGTGTTGAATTAATGAAATCTATAGCAAATGTTTGCTGCAGAAAGAATAAATTATATCAGAGAAACAACTAATAATTGGAAATGTTAAATCACAAGAGAAAGAAACTAATTATTCAAGGGACAATCAAAGAACAAATTCATACAACCACTAAAAAAGATTTGAATTAACCAATCCAAAACACTCCAGAATTTATGTCCTCCTTTTCCCTTTAATATTTACGTGCAAAAACACACAAGAAAGAGAGTAAAATGAGATACTGAGCTAGAAGCCAACTAAAAAGTAGGCCTCTCTAGTTCAATTTTTTTCTCAGTTAATCAAAACAATAAATAAATAATCGATGATAGTTTTTAAAAATTGTGTTTCTGAAAACTCAATTAAGAAAAACATATTTCCAGAGAGCAATTTCATAGTTCCTTGAGAACTATTTTTTTTTTTTTTTGGGGGGGGTTGAGCTTGAGAAGAAAACTGAACGAAACACAACTTAGACTACTTAATCAGGGAAATAAACCACAACACCTCAATCCACTTCCTACATGGATTCTATCTTGTCCCACTCACTAATACAAGTTCCTGCAGCAATTCTCTTCCATATTTTTTAGAATCCAACCCCCACATTGACGTTCAGAAGGCAATTACAGATCCCACTAAATACATATTTGTTGCCGGGATGGAACAAGATTTGAGTAATTTATGATATAGGAAAACTTCTTAGCATGTATTCTGAAATTTATAGAAGCAACAATGCTTGATGGTAATAGCAAGAATTCATTAGTATGCTCATTATAACAGCAGATGCAGACAAGGTAGAATCAATACCTTATTTCCTCATTAATGGATACTAAAATATGTGTATTTTTGTGCATTACTCACGGTGTCCCTCCAACTATGAATGGTACCGGAAAAGACTGAACATGGACCTAACCTTGATATTACTTTGATTCTTGTACTTTATCAGCTAAAGACATTACCATTACACCAAAATATGACCACCATAGTGTGCATTTTCATGTTATAGATATTAGATAATGGGAAAATTAAAAAAAACACTAATTAATTATGCATATTTTCAAATATGCCAACTTTTTCAAAGTAATAGGTTTGACTGCTAATTTTATCAAACTAATTACAAAAGTGTACAAAAACACTATTTAGACTCTATAATAGTCCAAAATGCCCTTATCTCTTTCAAGAAAGTCCAATGTCCACCAAGTTCCTAAACTCCCTTGTTTCCGGCCATGAGTTCTAACAGACAAAACGGAGCAACTCAAATCAAACAAAAACTGTTGTCGGGAATATTACCTGACTCAATCGCATATGTATATATAACGCTAAACTTGATCAGGTCACGTATTAGTGCTATTAATGATTAAGATTCAAATTGATGATCAATACATAACATATTTATGAATCAAGAATAATTGTAGAATAACAAGAAATAAGTTAACCAGAAGCAAGAAAAGTACCAAAAATTAGTACAATTCACACTTTTAAATATTATTTTTGGGAATTCTAGGATTTTAGTGAACAGAAAAGAGAAACTGATCATGAGAATTAATCAATTAAATAAAAATGGAATAGAAATTAAATTCACCAACACGGGTGCCAAGAGATCGAGAGAGCTAGCTATATAGAGAGAGAAATTAATGAAAATAATTATATAAGAAAAAGGGAATTAAAATTTTTTTTTTTTAAAAAAAAAAAGCTACTGTCTTGAGATGGGCCTTGTGAGCTCATGGCCAGAAATAGGAACTCGGAGGAAGTTAGACATTTTTTAAAGAGATAAGGGCATTTTGGACCATTAAAGAGTCTAAATAGTGTTTTTTAAACGTTTTTTAATTAGTTTGATAAAGTTAGGAGTCAAACCTAATATAGTTGAAAAAGTTGGCATATTTGAAAATATGCATAATTAAGTATAGTTTTTTTCAATTTTCCCTTAGATAATTAAGTTCCTGGTTTGCCTTAAGTGTCTTTCTTAATTGTTCATCCCAAATTTGAAGTACAACATCATGTCTAATGTAATATCACAGGGAGATGACTCGATATGTCTTTTGCAAAGCAAGAGGCGGAAATTATATAAATACAAATAGCATGGTAAAAGTTACAAAGCACTAATGCTATGTTTGGGGGGCGCTGAATCAGCACCAGATTTGGGATTAGAGAAATTTGGTTCAAAGTTTAAACACAATTTCCTCCAATTACCGATTCAGTACTCCCAAACACAACATAAACTCATTCCTAATTGTATTAAATAATAGGTTTTAAATGGGGTTCAGTTTTTTCCATGGTTTACAAGCAAAATAGAACTGCCAAAGTTTTAGTTCTCTTACATGTCATTTAGAATTAGAAAAAATAGGGGGGAAAAAAATTCTGACTTTACAGGCCGTTAATTGAATAATCCTCTATTTACAAGCCAATTTGCTAGAAAGTTCAGCTTCCCTCACACTCAATTTGGAAATTTGATAAAATCAATCAAATAAAAAATAACACAAATTCCCCATTGATTAAACATAACAATGCAAACACTTAAAATGTGTCAACAAGAAAAATGCATGCAATGATAACACCTCCAGAAAAGACAAGTAAAACTCAAAGACATAAAAGGCAGCAAATTTCATGAACAATATTCTAAAAAAAAAATTGCCCTTAGACACCAAACGAAAACCAAAAAATGCAATATAAAACAATGAATCGAAAAGGTCCAGCCAATCACTTACATTTTGTTTTCGCAGAAAAAAAATAAGATCCAGCCAAACGGTTCCTCAAATCCAACTGAAAAAGTTATCGGCGCAAATCGATCCACAAACCCAGAAACTGAAATGTTCAAAGCTTTGCCTCTTCTCTTGTGATATTGATCGGTGTTCGTCTTTCAAATGTAACGAGTATATCGACTTCATACATATATATATATATATGATATATCGATAGATGGATAGAGACGGAGGTAACTCTACTACGGCTTTCCAGAGATTTCCCGAGTGTCAAAGAGACGAACTGTCTGGATTTTTTTGCCACGTGTGCAGTAGTTATTGTCCACGTCAGGAGGAATGGGTTGTCTGGTAGACGTCACGGCTTATTCTAGACTTATGTAACACTGTAGTAGTAGTAGATGACGTGGCGTGTTAAGATTGGAGTTATCCAAGTCCAACCCACTTCCAAATTCCAGATATATCTCGATGCATCTATATATTTATATATATAATCCATGTAAATATATATATATATATATATATATACGCACACACACACCCCTGGTGAGCAGAAATAATATACTCACATTGATTAATTTTTTCTTCTTATATTTTAGGAAACTTGCTTCTGTTTTTATTATCATTATATACCGTATTGTTAACCGAAAAAGACAAAATTAGACATATTTTTAATAGAAATAAACTAAAATCAAATTGGTTAGGCTTTTCTTCTATACACGTATAAAAATTCCTTCCTATTCGTCCAGGGGAATTCGCAAAGCATACCAATTAAAAAAAAAACATCATTTTCAATCCCTTCAATCATAGAAGGTTGAAACATAGAATACAAATGCATCTAAAAAAATAAATAAATAAAACCAAAAGCGTTTGAAAAAACAAATTCATTCCCATCGTTACTGCCAAGTCAATAAAATTCCCAACAGTTCACCGTGACAGTCTTCTTCTTCGCAATCAAGATGAATAAAATTAATTAAAGAGAAATAAGTTGGTCCTGTTTTTTTAATTTCCTCCCATACTTCATCCATTCAATGATAAATTATGTAATAAAAATTAGGAAAACACATTAACTTTGTCCCTTATCATTGGCAGTGAAATTTTTTGCATGAATAGCCAATACTAGTTTACAATTTCAATACAATATGAGTAATACCATAACTTGTGTATACCAGGCTAATTAAAAATTCCCAAAACATAAAAAATAAAAATAAAAAATTCTTCCCATCCATTTAGCTTGGGAATTCACAAAGCATACAAAAGAAAAATAATAATAATTATTATTATTATTTCCAATCCGTTCAACCATATAAGCTTGAAATATAGAAGGAAGGCAGTGACTTGACCAACCATAGAAATGGTAGCATCTCAAAAAAAATTATATATAAATAAATAAATAAATAAAACAGCTGCGGTAGGTTTTGGGAAAAAAATTCCTTCCAAGCCAGTAAATCTTCCACCCCACCTGTAAAGAAATTATTTCAGAAGTCTTGAATTGATTTAGAAGCAATCCAACTTGCATTGTAAACCCCTATATTCACTAGGGGTATGTTTGGTAGAGTGGGTTTGAGGAAAGGGAAAGGGAAGGGGAGGATGTTTGGTTGATTAATGAAGAAAAAGAAAGGAAAGGATAATAATCATGTTTGGGAAAAGAAAAGGAAAGAAAAGAAAGGGAATTATTTTAATAAATTGACTATTATACCCTTTTATATTTTAATAAATAAATATATATATATATTCTCCAATACTACACAAGAAAAAAAAAATAATAAAAAAAATAAATTAGGGCAAATCATTTCCCCCCAATCTCGCCTCCATCTCTATTATATATATATATATACACACACACACATATAGTCTCCTATACTGATGGGCCACCAGAAAAGAAAAAAAAATTAGCGCACATCATTTCAGCCTCCCCCAATCTCGCCTCCATCTCTATTCTCGTTCTCAACTCTCTCTCTCTCTGTGCAAGAATCAAAAGTTCAAAACCCGTATGGTATATTATTTCAGATTGTTTAGAAAATCAAAATTTCGCAAGCTTCCATATATATATATATATATAGGAAGGGAAGGAAAGGGTTTGGAGGGTTAACTTGTGGCTTCAACAGTAAATTTCTTAACCTCCCAAAAATAGGAGAAAATGAAGGGAAAGGGAAGTAGAGGCTTGGTGTGTGATTTCAGATGCCAATCTTGCCCTTGATATGAGTTTTGATTGAACTGGAACAGCGGCGATGGAAACTGATATATATATATATATATATATATGGAAGCTTGCGAAAGATATGGGTTTTGATTGAAATGGAACAGCGGCTATGGAAACTGATATATATATATCGCCGCTGTTCCATTTCAATCAAAACCCATATCTTTCGCAAGCTTCCACATATATATATATATATATCTATCAGTTTCCATCGCCGCTGTTCCAGTTCAATCAAAACTCGTATCAAGGGCAAGATTGGCATCTGAAATCACACACCAAGCCTCTACTTCCCTTTCCCTTCATTTCCTCCTATTTTTGGGAGGTTAAGAAATTTACTGTTGAAGCCACAAATTAACCCTCCAAACCCTTCCCTTCCCTTTCCTTCCAATAATTTTTGCCAAATACAAATTTTTAATCCCCTTCCATCACCTTCCCTTCCCTTTCCTCCCATTTTCACTCTACCAAACTGGCCTTAAGCGTTCGTTAAGGGGTAGAGACATAAGGGAAAAGTTGTGGACATTATTTCAAAACTAATTTGGGTATCCACTTATGTGGGACACTCGTAGAGTTGTTTTTTTTTTTTTTTTTTCAAAAGAACCTTCTCATGTCAACAGCCGAGTGCTCTCCTTATTTAATTACATGATTGAGATATATATATATATATATATATATATTGAGAGATATAAAAAGTTAAATGAATCATTTAACAAATCCTTCAATCCCAATAATTAAGTAATGAAAGTTCACGACTCTTGTCACGAGAAGTTCATTTGATAGTATTACTCATATTGTATTAAAATTGTAAACTAGTATTGGCTATCTATGCAAATTTTTTAACTGCCAATGATGAGGGACAAGGTTAATGTGTTTTCCTAATTTTTATTACATAATTTATCATTAGAATGGATAAAGTATAGGATGACATTAAAAAAAATAGGACTTACTTATTTCTCTTTAATTAATTTTTTTCATCTTGGTTGAGAAGAAGAAGACTGCGACGTTGAACTGTCGGGAATTTTTTTATTGACTTGGTGGTAACAAAGGGAATGAATTTATTTTTTCAAACGTTACTGGTTTTATTTTTATTTTTTTATTATTTTTTTAAGATGTCGTTGTCTTCTATGTTTCAACCTTCTATGGTTGAACGGATTGGAAATAATGTATTTTTTTTAATTGGTATGCTTTGTGAATTCCCTTGCAGAACCGATAGAAAAGAATTTTTATATGCGTATAGAAAAAAAAGCCTAATCAATTTGGTTTTTGTTTATTTCTATTAAAAATATGTCTAATTTTGTCATTTCTTGTTAATAATATATAATGATAATAAATAAAAAAATAAGTTTCCTAAAATAAATATAACAAAATTAATTAATTAATTATCATAAAATTAGATTCTAACATCACGATTAAAAGGAGTATCACTCCTTGTCCAGCAGGTAGCAGTTGAACGCAGAGATTTACCGGGTTTTAAAGAGACGAACTGTCTGGAATTTTTTTTGCCACGTGTGCAGTTGTTATTGTCCACGTCAGGAAGAATGGTTGTCTGGTAGATGTCACGGCTTATTCTAGAGCTATGTAACACTGTAGTAGTAGATGACGTGGCGTGTTAAGATTGGAGTTATCCAAGTCCAACCCACTTCCATATATACATCTATATATATATATATATATATATATAATCCATGTTTTGAATACTTGTGATTAAAATGCTAACATCAATTTATTTAAGTACTAAATTTAATTTGGGTGACTGCGTCATTTTTTTTTTCGCATAAACAAAATTTGATAATTACCAGTTCCTAAATTACGAGTCTTTTTAAAAAGATTATTTTAAACTATTTTAATTAGATTGAAATAGCAAGAAAAAAAAAATGGAGAATTTCTTTGTCATAAACAAAAAATTTAAAGAGAATTGTATGTTATTCAAATCATAAAATGACAATTTTCTACTCCTATAAAAAAAAATTTCTTTTACTTTCTCTTTTCACAAACAAAATGGAGCCTAAGGGTCATGGACTGGAGTTCTGATTATGTGATTTTAAATTTTTTATAATCTAAATCTAGCTCAAGGTCAATAATTCAATTCAATCAGCCCTTTTCTTTTTCTTTATTTTTTTTCTTTTTTTGACAAAATTATAGATTCATTAATGAAAATCAAACATGAAATGCATGATTAAAAAAAAACATTTTAATTTTTAGAGTATTGAACCAAATAACCATCAAATTATGCAAAGATTTCGTACTTTATGAGTGACGCATTGAAAACAATATAAATTCAAACAACATCTACCAAAAAAGGAAGTAATAATAATAAAACTCAAACACCACCATTGTCAGACTAATGTTTTGGACAAAATGACTGGAGAATTTCTTTGAATAGTATGTCCTAGTATTCACTGTTCAAAACTCAAATAGGAGAAGAATGCAATCCTTGGGTTCTCTTTATTGAAATTATGTTTTTATTTATTAATTCTAATTGGTCGGGAGCTTTTTTTATTTTGAAAAATCATAAAAAATTTAGGAAAGAGTCCTACCAACACAAGCATTAATGGAACTCATCGTCACGTGGTTTTTCTTTATATAAGGTGGGGAACTCCATATGCTTTATTTTATTTTATTTAAGAAATTAATTAAAATAAATAAATAGTCTCCGTCCATTGTATGCACTACTATTTTGTGGTAATGTAACTTCGTAACTCTCACACTTTCGCAGCCAACATTCTAATCCATCAGAAGAAGGGTGTCTTAATACACCAGTTTGATTGCAATTCGGTTAGTTTTTCTTAACAATGTCCCAAATATAACACAAATGAAAAGCCGAAAAGCATTAACCGCTAAAAGCCAAGGTTCTTAATAACAATAGGAAAATTTTACAGACTTGCAACACCACCGAGAGATCACTATACCTCATATAGATGAAAGGTTATAGGAACACTTTTGAGACACCAGAAAAATAAGTCAGAATTAAATTTGCAAATAAGTTACATCTCCCATTGGGAGCACAATGGGAGATGTAACTAGTCATATCAGCTTCAGGGGCTTCCATAACCACCACAAAATTGTTACAAGGGCATCGAGTTAGGAACCCTAATAATCAGCACAAGAGGGCCACATAAAAGCTTTCCCTTGCTGCAAATCACACTAATGCACTCATGGTATTAAATTCTTGGAGCTGCGCCCAAAATACCAGCCAAATGTGAGACATGGAAAAATAAAAATAAAAAAATGAACACAAAATAAATAAATAAATTATTTGCAGCTAAAGTTTCTAGCCTACCTCCACCAATAGTTGCTTCAGGCAACCGCTCGATTGAATACTTGTGTCGAGTAATGTACATAATCGGCACTCCAGGGACCTGTAGAACACCAATTTCATGCATCACAATCAAAGTACCAATAGAATATCATACGTCGCAACATCAAGCCTTGGTAAACCTATAGTACCTTGCGGATCCTTCGCTTCAGGTCTCGATCACATGTTGCAACAATATAGCACTTATGCTGTTTTAAACAACACGATTTATGAAAATTGGTCACATGAGAAAGATAAGAAAAATACAAGAGAAAGATGCCATTCACCAAAAGATATAAAATAAAAAGAGGTGGAATGATAGAAGACCTCAAAAATTATGAAGTAATAAATAAAAGTTCGTGGGACTTAAAAAGTTCAAAATTTAGTATTCAAACCATGCTAGCATCTGACACAATGATGGTTGCTGAGATACTGATAGAGAAAGAATGATGGAAGACCACAAAAACTATGAAGTAACAAATAAAAGTTCATGGGACTTAAAAGGATCAATATTATTATTTAAAGCCATGCTAGCATCCGATACAATGATGGTTGCTGAGATAATGATAGAGAACAATATTTACAGCACAAAATTTGGAATTCTCATGAGTCAAATGGTGGAAAATTCCTTGAACTCCCTCTGTCTGTAAAGCATGCTGAAGAACCAATAACAATTATCTTCCATTTCGACTTTACAGGATTTTTTCAGGATCATGTTGATAAAAGCCTTAGATTTCTTTGGGATTTTAGTTCAATAAATGAAACATAATTCTCAGTTCGGCAGTCTAATTACTGTGAAAAAATTTAACTTTTGGAATATTAATTTTCAATATCATAATCTTAAATCAACAGGAAGTGCAAATCTTTTAGACCCAAAGGATAAGTTAAGCATGGGAAAAGGCAGGGTCCAATAAATTAAATTCAATCAAGAGAAACCTCCAAAAAAATGATGTTACATTGAATTGTTGCCTTGTATTTCTTTTTCTGGATAAAAATGTTGTCATTTCATATCATATAAGTTGATTAAATAAAATCCTACTTGAAAGTACAAAAAAAGACTGACCGCCTGCTAATAACATGAGTGGTATCTGTAGCCCTTTAAAGGGGAGGTGTAAGGTTCAAACACTGATTGGGACAAGAGTGTGTTCCCTAGGTCAGAAAAGCAAAGAGGCACAGAAATATTGGAAAACTGATACTATGATCAGACATAAATCCTAAAGAATAGTTGACTTTGTAAACTCCTACAGAATAGTTGACTTTGTGGAGAAGTCCTAAAATTAACAAAAGATACAACCTGCAGCCAAAAGCTGATATAATTTGAGGTCCATGGCACAGGAAAATTAGGCATAGCAGATATTAGATCCAAATAGTACCTGTGTAACTCTATCAACGATACAGTCATCAGCATATGTTCCTTTATGAATACAAGGAAGTCTTTCAAATCGAGGATCCTTTGCAATCCTATTTCAAAGCAAAAAGAGATAAAAATGTAATGGAGTTAAAAGAGAAGGCTTAGTTACTAGCAATACACTAAAAATCCTAATGGCACTTTGCATAACCAAAAATATTTATCTCTAAAACCTTAATGAAATGAAGTGCAAGAAGACAAGTTAAAGCATTTTTTCCCCCAACAGCCAAACAAAACCACTAACAATTAAACACAAATAAATTTTAAAAACAAACACAAATTTAACATAAAAATATATCAATGTACAAGTACAATTCATAAAACACACAAGTCATATACAGATGCATTAAAAATTGGGTTGTGAAACAAAGTCGAACACCACATACAGCAAAAAGTTTTTAAGTGCTTTCCTTTATATAATTCAAACCTCAGATGCATTTAAGTTTTATTATTAAAAGTATATCATTGCACAGTTATTGCAGAGTGAACACGATTTTAATCCTATTTACAGCAATTATAGTCTTTAATATAACAGAAAAAAGGTACGAGAATAGTTTTATTTTCAAATACTCCAGCTGAAAAGAACAGGAAAATATAAACATTAACTCATGTATTAGACAGTTTAAAATTTTCAAATAGCTAAAAAGAACAGGAAAATATAATAGCAAGTAATAGAACTGAAGGAACTATTCAGAAGTAAGATTTCTTGAGTGAAGAACATGAGTACCTCAAAGCAACTCGGTATTTCTGACCTAACTTTTCAAGCTCTGCCATCACGCAATCAGTGATACAAGGAGTACCTTTACAGCACAAAAGGTAGTAAAATAAAAATATGGAGTAAAAAAGAAAACAAAAAAAGAAAGCGAATTTTCCACTTGATGATGATAAAGAATTAAGCATAGCCACATATGCACTGTGATTGCAGATGGCAGGTTAAACCTTATAGCATTGATAAAAGAAACTACAAAATCAATTTTATGGGTATCATTGGAACCTATTTTATGGGCATCATTGGAACCTAAGTTATGTGGACTCAGGTATGTGTCTCTAAATAAAGCTTCTAATTATCATACTATATATTTTTTCTTTACTTTATTTTGAAGAGTAAAAGAACATTTTCATGTGACATAGTGTTCAACATAAGCATTTCAATCGCTTTGAAGTAATAACATAAAAGAATTGAATTACTAGATGTGTTCTCTAAATGCTTGTACAACCAAAAGTGTCGGAGACATTCTATATACATGTCCAAATGTTGTGTCTCCAACACAGTGCTTCACATAATTTTGAAGAACCCATGTAACAAAGATCGGAACACTCCTATTCCACACGATCCAAAGTGATTATAACGGTGTGTAAGCATGCAACCAATAAATGATACAATATCCACCAAAAATGCAGTAAACGACAGCAAATATTAAAAATAAAGTACAAAATGGTGATTCTGATACTTACATTTCGCGTATAGGCAATCCATCATTCCTTTCTCCAAATCCAACTACACCAGAATTTGTAAATTCAGATTAAGAACCAATAGGGAAAAAATAAAGGCAAAAATTAGCTATAGCAACCGACAAAGTTAAAGCCAAATCAACATAATTTTCCCTAAAAAAACAAATATAAACCAATACAAATAGCTGTTGTACCAAGAAGATTACTATCAATCTTTCACCATTCAAAGCCAAACCTCCTTTTCTGACAAAGACAAGTGAGAAAGAAACTTATTTACATAATTAGTGTGCTACTTTTTCCCCAAGGCCACTTTGACCCGAACTGGCAATTTAGGGTTTGATGCATATTTCGCACAAAATCTGCTTACAACACACTGCAGCAGCAAGAAGTGACACCTGGGACCCAAAGTTCACCTTACCAACATTTTTTCAAACGCATAAATGATTGAAAATCTTGGGTTCAATTCTGTATTCTTTCTTTCCCAACATTTTTTGGAAAACAAAACAGAGCACATGGCTAGGGGTTGGGGAAAAGAGATTAAAATACTACAAGCAAACGGTGGAAGTCTTTCTCATTCATTCTACTCAAAGAAATTTATTATCCAACCTCAATTATCATAAAATTAAATCAATTCAATACAAAAATAACATCTGATCACTTACTTTATTCTGGATGGAGAAATTGATGAAGTTGGTATCGACCAAAACCCGGTAAGGTGGTCCGAGTGCAGTGTTGTACTTGAAGAAAAGAGCAGAAGAAACATTCGGTCTGCATCACACAAATACATATATTTATATACATATGTATACAAATATAATCACACACGTACATATAGATACATATATGCATACACACAAATACATATGTTAGCCACAGAGAAGGGGCTTACATGTTTCGTGGGAGCTTTTCCTTCTGCAAATCTTTCTTGTTAGGGTTCAAAACGTCTTCTTTATATCTAAATAAAAAATTGTTTTAAGAATTAGCAACAAAAAAAAGCATATAGTAGTATCTATATATACACATACCGATTTAGAGGAAAGAGAGAGATTAGCTTACTGCTTAATTGCTTTAGAGGTGACCATCTTCTTCATGACTGCGAATTTAGGGCTTTTCTTTGCTTTTCCCATGTCTTTCTCTCAATTGAACACCAAAAACTCTGAATAACCCAACCAGTCCAGTCGGTGTCGGTCACTAGGTCTCCTTCTACTGCTATTTCGGCTATGGTGGTTATAGAAGAGGAAGAGAAGAAGAGAGGAGAGAAGAGATGGGTTTGCTCTGTTTTCCACTGATTTCTCACACTTGAATGGACTCCGAGGGAGTTGCTCACCAATTGGGTCGTGTCTGAACAAGGAGATCTATGTTCTCTAATGGCCTGTTTAGCCCACTTAATTAATTTATTTTTCTTTTGTTTGTTTGGGCCCTGTTGGCCCGTATAGCCCATACTCTTGTTGTTTCTTTTGCGTAATTAAAAAAATATATATCGTAAACATGAATTGTTTTATTATGAATTATTTAGTTTTATAAATTATTTTTCAATGACAAAATTTTGAGTTTGAGATCGAGACAAAACAAGCTACACTGTATTTGAAGGAATAATATTAACTGAGCTCAAACGAATTGACTCAACTCATTTTGACAAATTAAACTTGAGTAACTTTAGTCGAGAGCTCTGTAGATCTTGTGAACCTACAAGTATACCACATTAAATAAACCAATATGCTCATCATTAACAATAATTTAAGCTTTGCCACATAAATGGTAGGGTTTGATCCTTAAATGGTCAAAATAAGTGTATAATTATCTACTACTTGTGTAGAATAAACAAGGAATAAGGATAGTTTATGATAAAAGGGTGGTGTTGGAGTTCGAATTCGTATCTAATTCTATTCTACAGTAAATATACACGGATTTTTTTTTTTTTTTTTTTCCTGACATGTAGTTATAGTTAATATTTTCTTTTTTCTCTCCCAATTAATGTCATCCTTTCTTTTTCTTCTAATATACAAGCAATGCTATATAAATAAAATTTTGGTATGCCATTTCATTTTTTTTAAGGCTTAGTAAAACAATCTATATTTCACTATAAAAAAAGTGAGCACCATGATCTCATTTGCCATAGTATGGGGGAGGAGGGCTTATTTCAAGTTTATGAAGTAGTGAATCCAGATACGGAGAAAAGTTCAGACAATAGTAGTGTTTATCAAAGTATAAAATCATCTGCACCTTTTTCCTTCCAAATGTCACATCTTTGAGAGGACGCACAGTATAAGCGAAATAAAGAAGAAAAAAACATACTAGTATACACTTCAACCATTAATCAGTATCAATGTCAGAAGGATGCAGTTGCTAGATACAAAACTCTAACATACAGAAATAAACCTAGGCATCCTGTCTGACAAAATTAAAATAAAAAATAAAAAAATGAAAGGGCATATTTTCACAGAGAGGAAAAAAAAAATGAATGATCAAATTAGACCATTTGAAGGATGACCAACACCTATAAGAACAATGCTATCTCAAAATAGCCTGACTGCAGCTTCTGTTGAGTTTGAATCTTCCACCGCTTCTGGTGGAGGCTTCACATACTTTCCTATGGTTTTTTGGTGATTCCGTTGCCTCATCCTCAAGATTTTATCCTTGCTTTGCTTCTTCTTCTTCTCTTTCTCTCGGTTTTTTTGATTCCTTTCCTTCTCATAGATTCCTTGCCAGTAGACCTCACCTGTTGCTGGCCACAACCGCCGTCTCCTAGGGTGGTCGGAATCCGACTCCTCAGCCAGGTCCTCATCCATGCTCTTAAGCGTGGTGTATGAGAACCATTTGACCCACATCTGACCTCTACGACTCTTCAACCCATGGTGTTCTTGCATTACACCTGTCTTTGGATTGACATACACCATCCGCCTTGCACTATGGTATGCCCAGACATTAATGAGTAGCTCTAGCACCCGAGAATAGCAATGCTTATCCTGCTAAATCATGTGCCATTATATGCAGTTCCAATGAAACAAACGTAATGGCACCACATTACTTAGAGAAAAAAAGCTAAAATGTGAAAAGAAGACAAAAGTAATTCCTAATCAGCTGCTTATAAAGTATGCTAGGGCCAAGGGCCAATTTAGAAATCACACAAAAATGAAATAAATCCTTTCTTTTAGTTTCCCACTGTATATGGAAACGCTCTACATGTTTCAGGGAGACTGATTTTTACAATTTGCACATATAGCTTCAACTACGGACATAAGCGGTTCACTTGTGTTACTTATTATCAATTTAGTGATGTATGCTGGCTGGTCTATTATATATTGACTAATTAGGTAGTTGAATTTTTTTTTTTTTTTTTCCTGAGTTCTGAAGGAAATTCAAAATTGAATTATTTCAATTTTACATGTTTCCAAGTGGCTCATCAATTATTAACCTGAAGTTCCATCAAGAAATTAAGAATGTCAATTGAGCAAAAATTTCCAAACTGAAAAATGACAGAGTGTCACTTTTGGGCTTGGAGGGTCTTCCGATGAAACATGATCAGCCAGTGTCCCATCTATTGTATTGAACTTGGCCATAGACAACCATGAATTTCTAAGCAGAAGATGTAGAATGAACCAAAAAAAACATAAATGACACCTAGCAAGAATACAAAACCAACGGTATAAAGAAAAGCAAGTTACCTTGGATAAACTAAGGTAACAGTGCCCATTTTGATGGTGCTCGTCATAGATTTGTGCATCCAGTGCATCTACAAACATTCTGAAAATGGAATGCGACCCATATCAACTATCTTACAAGTGAAGAACTCTCTCAGAAAATAAGTCCCTTTAAGAGATAAAATAAGCCAGAAATATTTATCTAGAGACAGCAAGTGGTGAATTCAAACCTGGAAAACATTACGAACTCTAGGAAGGATCGGGTTGGCAAAACCCAGCTGTGCATGACTGACCATGTATCCCCATCTATAGGCATGGGAGGGACAGAATTCCAGTCAAGCTTTATGTCGTACATCTTCTTAAGAGCCTCAGAGAAGGCAACCCTTTAATCAATTAGGCAAAACAAATTACGTTGAACTTTCCAATCCATATCGAGAATAAAATTAAAGGATAATTTATTTATTTTTATCTTTTGCAGGAATATGATTAAAAAAAATGGACATTAGCAATCTTACTTGCAATTTCCAGCATTTATTGCATTGCAGAATGACCAAAAATCCTGTTGCAATGGGTTTCTAGGATCCATGTCCATGCGAACCCAAAAGTAGAGTGTGTCACCATGCCTTCGTGCTTGGATAGCGTCTAACAGCGCATTTTCAGCAGTCCTTGACAAAGATTCCTGCTTATACCCGGACGTTACTATGAATCATAATATGTTTAATGCACAAGCATAAATGTAACTGTATATTGTTCAGTTGGTAATTTTCAATTTCTGCACTCTAGACAAAGGAATAATTAAAAGCTGGAGGTTCAGAATGTCTGGAATAAATTAAAACCGATGGGGCGGTTTTCCCATTACAACTTATATGTTTCTAATCTCTCTTACTTTTTGGTTTTAAAAACTACAATATTTAAAACCAAATGATAAGTTGAAATGCACTAGAGGTTAATAACATTAACATGTTTTAGAACTTCGGAATTTCAGTAAATGTTGCAGGACAGGTTTTGAAGTTGCAACTCGCAAGTTACAAGTCTTCAAATGTTCTAGAACTTCGGTATTTCAGTAAATGCTGCAGGACTGGTGTTTAAATTGCAACTCGCAAGTTACAAGACTTCAAATTCTAAATCTGGACCTATCCAAAATTCCCATATAAATGAGCCAATTGGCAGGCTTTGGAAAAAACAAAAATTTAGATTTTCTTAATTATTCAGAAAATTGCTTCAAATTTCCACACAAAAAAATAAAAAAATAAATATCCTATGTATATTCAGTCAAACTACTAAAAATATAACAACTTCCTTCTTTTTGAATAACACACTTAACTCATGGCCAAATTTTTAACCAAAAAATTTCCCTACATGAACAGTAGTAGGTTTTAACAAGTATTTGAGAACATTCATCAAATATATTAATAAAAAGAATCTCTAGCGTTCTTATTCATAATGAACTGTAGTAGTAAATTGTAGAAGTAGAATAAGAAGCTCCTCTTGTTTTGGTGTAGAGCAGTGGACTTTTTATCATTGCAACTGGTCTTGGTTCGTAGGCCCTGTGCTGCCTATTGTTTTATTCAATTATCACATGGTCCATTACATCAACATGCATGAGATGGAGAATGCATGAGATTCTGATGGAGAAAAATATAAGTAATTTGAGGCAGATTTAGGAAATAACCTAAAGAGATACGGAACAAGAGCAATCTTATACCTTCCTTGCTGTTGCTCTCCAAGACTGGAATCCTATCCAAGCATTTTTGTGTATACGGTCAATCCGGTTAGCAATTGCAAAGAAGGCTCCATATTCAGCGAGGGCATCACGGTAATAAGGATTGTTCAGAAGCGGAAGACGGGAAGGTGCATCAATGTCATCTGCCCCACGTCGTCTACCTTTGGTGGACTACAATCAACAAGTCCATGCATCCATGTTAGATTGAGAGTTGCTTTTTTTATCTATCACCGTTATTGAAATGAGTAGAATAACTACTAAGGGGAAATCTAACTCATGGTTATATATGTCACAAGGTCAATACACTAATTAGCATATGAATCACATTGCACATGAAAATTATGTAGTTCTTGAAATAAGCCAAGCAATTTTTTATTTTCATTTTTAAGAAAAGTTAAATTAATTAAGCTATTATTGCTTCAAATTTCTCTTTATTAAAAAATGATGAGTAATAAAAAGAATCCTCCGAACTATAGAATTACATACAGATTGACCCAGAAATCACAATTCACAAGAGACTTTGAAGTTTAGGTTCGCAAATGAATCGAGGCAAGCAAACCGAGCTCGAGACTTTTAAGGATCAGTTCGTTCATTTTCCAGCTCGGTTTAGACTCGACTAAGGTTCATGACATGCTGAAAACAAAGCCTTATCTCATTATAGGTGTCTATTGTGAGTGAGCTTGACTCGATTCACAAGCTTGTGAAACATACGGTTTTTATATTTTACTATATTTTATTAATTTTTACGAATAAATGATACCAAACTTCTTCGTAGGTTTTGCACCTGTTCACATGCCCCTGTAGTGTCCTAATTCTAGTCTGGCATGTGGGTCTACTTTGACAGGAACTTTTGGAGCGGCTGAGGAAGCATTAGGAATTGCTGCATCTCCTGTTTGATCTGAACGAAAGAGACCCTCATGAGCAGAGCGAAAGATAGGGCGCACAAAACCTAACCGTACTTAGAATTCAGCATCTAAACGTGAAAGTCAGTTTATTACTCAAATTAGATTAAAGAAAGAATAGCTCATCGTCTCCTATCCTTAGAATTGCAGAAGGGTTGGTTCAAATCCAAGATTTGATTGGGTTTTTTTGACCTTCTTAGTACTCCGTTGTTGATATTGACGTTGGTGTAAGCATAGCAGTGGAAGAAGAATTAGAGACTAAGAATCAACCTATCATCTTTTTTTCAAGATTAGCCTTTATTTACAGCCACTTCTTCATTTTATACAGGTTCAGCTCTTGGTAAATGCAATAAGAACCAGCTGCTGTTTGTAGTAGGCTCTCTTTTTTTAATAATAATAATAAAATAAAAAATAAAATAAAAGAGGCATGAATCCACAAGAATGAGGGAACCACCATTGCTCAAGCTCCGCTCATTTAATGAATAAATGAGCTGGTAGAAAATGCTTGAGCTTGGATTGTTTACTTAAGAACACGAGCCAATATCGTATCTGTTAGCTTGGTTTATTTACAACGTACCAAAGTGTATTGCTTAACTTCACAAACTAATTGTCAACTTTTTGAAGAGCGGATGGGATCGCAACTATAAAGAAAGAAAAGATTCATGCAATGGAAACCTGCTCTGAAGAAGATTCCCTGGTACAGTTAATTTCACACATTATTTTCCAGTGAATACTGCCTGACAATGATATATATTAAAATCACAGCAATCAATAAATTAAATATATATATATATATATATGCAAGAGCCTTATCATGTAAGAAGAAGATAATCCATATCACCATGGTACCATCTTACAGAACATTATACTTATTGGGGAAAACGATAGAGGATGACAAATGAGCTTGATGACATACCAGTCCAAGTCCTCGATAGAGTGAAGTACGGTGCAAAAAAGGCCAAGTTCCTTCTCCAATGTAAGTTTCATAGATGCATAATGGTTGACCTGTCCTTTCAAGGTCGCCGTCATCCCTTTCATGCAAATCATTCTTTGACCGGTCAGTCCTCTTGGCATTTCGATATACTTCCTCCCATGTTCCCCGAGGTTGATCAGTCCTGTCCTTCAACTGCATCGAATTAAGAACATGATTTTCCACAAAGGTCAAAACATAGGAGAGGCAGTGCCCAGAAACTGTTTGATCCAAATTTATTGAAAGTAGATTACTCCCTACATGGCTACATCACTTACCTCTTCGTCTTCTCTTCTCTTCCTAGTCTTAGCTGTGTCAATATATTTTTGTTCCACCCAGATATCATATAAGAATGTTTCATCAGTCACAGAGCCAGAACTCTCTGTTTGAGTATTGTTCCATTGTCTTTCAACCTTGTCTAAAAAACTGTAACTTCTCAAAGTTCTATTTGGATATGTTGAAGCTGCAATTGTTTTGAATAGATCCCACCGCCATTCTTCTTTCAACTTCTGAGGGATTTCAGTGACAGCCTTGGAACGTGCAGCTTCCGATGGGAGCTTGAGAACATTTTCTAACAGAGAAGTATAGCCTTCAATGGATTCTAATACCATTAGGTCTTTAGCAGTACGTTTTCCAATCGATGCAATATTGCGAGCTAGAGGTGATAATTTTCCTTTTGAAACCACTTCCAATATGATCTTTGTTAGAACCTTAATAGTCTTCTTCGGGAAAAGGTAACCATTCACCCTGTCATCAACCTAATTTTATAGCCAATGCAGTCATTAGCTTCCTTTAAAATAAAAAAATAAAAATACAAATTCAGAAGTCTAAATAAGAATAATAAATGTGTCACAACCAGGAAGTTTAATGATGTCTTAGTAATCAACAATGGCCTTCCCATATCATTTTTCGCTCACAGCCTCACAGGTGACATATATTAGAGATTAATGACCCAACTCTAAGAGTTCCCACAGATGAGATCCCTTGAGCCAAATAATAACCTGTGAGACAGTCTTAGCTATATGGTTTAGAAAAAGATCCACTCAAAAGAGAATCAGAACTTCTCAAGGCTCCTAAGCCTGATAGGGGATCACTTTACAAGAGGACTATGGTCAAAACTGTGAATAAGACATGATGGTTTGCAATTTGATAGAAGATACATAGGGTTGAATGGAGGAACGTAATGCAACATAGCCAGCCCCAAGTAGCTTGGAACAAACTTGTCCATGAGGTGAGTTCTCAAATGTTCTTTTTTCTGCCCAGAATTCTGTTAGATCTAAGGAAAATATATTATAACTTATTGACATATGTGTCCGTTAAGAGAAAGCAGCATTATGAAGCATACATATTTCCTGATCATGGAGAGATCTGGGGCTATGACTGGTTTCCCAAAGCACATGGCTTTTGTCAAAATGTTAGGGAAAGATTGCTCTTCAAGGAAGGACCCATATATCACAAGATCAGCCATGCTTAGAACACTATCTGCATCTTCATCAACAGCAACGTGCTTCACGATGTCCCTTGGGTACCTTAAGTTCAAGGCAATGGCCTATGGGAAAATGATATATGTTAAATCAGGGTTAATCAATAAGAAAGTAGAACAACCAAGTCCATGAAAATGAACCAAGACCAAGGATCTGCAGATATTAACTAAGCTTTTACCTCTACAGCCACACTGTAGTTACCAGCCGAATCACCACTTAAGATAATGACTTTGAGCTGAGAATTGGAAGAGTTATCAGATGGAAAATCAGCAAAAAGTGGTAATAGAGCCTGTAAAACAAGGGCATGCTCCAGCCACAGACCGCTGTACAAAAATTGACTTCCCACAATCGCAATAATGAAGTCATCAAGCCCATAATCCATCTTCACACGAGGACTCTCTTTATGTAAAGCCAGAAAATTATCCGCTTCCCATGCTTCAGCTGGAGTACCGGGAATAACAAAGTAGTTTCCAGCATCAAAGGCAGAGTAAAACATCTGACAAAAATACAGAGAGATCCAATAACTACACTAAGCACCAAATTATGCATCTTTGAAGCACCAGTAAGTACCAAGTCAATTATAGTACTGTTAACATAGGAGTTGATGCAGGCTTAAGCAATTCACAACCAAAATGCATCCTTTGTACAAAATCAACATGATCGGATAGTTGTCACCAATTTGCACGTATTCTTTTAGAGAACTTTTGGATCGCACATCATTCTCCAAATTTGTAAATAATTTGATAGGGAAAAAAAAAAAAACGAAGATAATAATAATCACCCTCCAATCATGTTAATTCTAACAAGGATATTTTAGCTGAATGCATTGTGAGTTATACCCAAATCACCTTTCTATGCACCCTATAACCAGTATAAAATTAACAAAACATACCAAAAAGCTTGCCTAATAAATATTACCGGCAGGACATAGTTTGGGAAGGCAACAACAGTAGCACGGCTGAAGCTTTTTTTCCAATCATTTACAAGCTCAACCTGTCCATTTGACATGTATTGTCTCAAACGAGTCGCAAGGGTTCTTTCATGGATAGTCCATATTACAGGTAGAGACTTGAAAGGTACCTGCATAAGACTGTAACACATAAAATCATTCTATTAATTGAGAAGGATTTCATCAACAGAAACAATTCCAACCTATTAGCTAATATTACGAACAAACACATAAACAAATTAAATCATAATAAAATTGCTTTGCAACTGCAGCAAATTATAGAATAGTATGAAGAAAGAAGACAATGGAAAAATAAAAAATAAAAAATAAAAAAATACAGGAAATTGTCACTTGAGTGACTAGATTGACAAGCAAAAGCATCTAAGAGTTCCCATATTGTATGTATAACAAATATGAAAAAGTTTCCACACCAGTTTCTGAACAACACATTAAGTGGCAGCCTTAGAATAATGCAACCAAAAGCAAAAAAATATAGATCCAAATAGCTCACTCTAAGCAATAGCCAGTTTCTCACCCTTTGAATACCCTTTACAAAAGATGAAATTATCTCAAAGATATACATCAACATCGGGAGTTTTCCCTCCATGTCACATTGACAGCAACAAAGTTTACAAGGCATGCTAAGCCAAACAACTATGGTGAGTACAGCAACCAAGTCATTCTAATTACTATGGCCCGTGATGGATTAACAGTGTCATGCTAGGAACTTGTCCAACCAAAAAAGTCCCATTTTCATCAACTCGGTAAGCTCTATATTAGAACCACAATAATAAAAGAGCATGCTGACATTCTCAAAGCAAGATTAATCTTACAAGGCCATCCCAAATAATCAAGGAGCATGCCTTGCCTCACTTTGAACAGGAAGAGCCATTAGACGCCAACAACATTATTCTTGAGCTCAGTTAAGCGAAAAACTCTCTGAACAATCCACAAGCTTTATGTAACATTTTAAAGTATTCGTCAATATTGTATACCAATATTCACATAATATAACGTCGCACCCTCTTGTCACTTGATGGAGCTAGCAATCAACTAAAACCAACCTGGAACAGCTCAGAGACATTCAAGGTTAGATATCTCATTACAGCAGAATCTGCACTATTAAACCAATTAGAGGTATAAGCAACATACTCCACAAGTCCACGTAGACTTGGAAGTTCAAACCTTCAGCCAAAAACCCTGTGCAGTATCAGGAAGCAGCTACCTAAATGGAACGGTTTTAACCCCGAGGAGTTGGATAAGGCTTGGGCCTGGTGCCTCATGAAGCATCAGGTCACAGGATCGATTCCTGCTAGGTGCAAACAATTCCTCTTTGCGGGGTGCAACTAGGAAAAAAAAAATGGAACGGTTTATAGGATATCCAATGCCATATAGGAATAAATTGGACTCCAGTCAATTGATGAGTATTAAATCCCTAAAAAAATTGGAGAATGAAGACTTTAGTACCCAGAAAAGCAGTTCAATGAAATTGCATCTCCAATTCAAAATGTTTTAGTCCATGAGATCAGTTATGCAGATTACAAAGGGAACTGATCACTTATGCAAGAAAAACTAAAATACAAAAACTTAAGAGGTGCACCAATGGCTTAACCCAAGTAGTATCTCCTCCTAGGCTTTGAGTCCATAATGGGACAAATGGGTGTGTGTGAGAGAGAGAGACCCAGATTGTGGAGAAAGAAATAGAAGATACTAAGTGACAGGATCATTAAACTTATACTTAATCCATAAAATTTAACATATGCCCATTCCTCAATATTCGAGGTTAGCTACATGAACCTTGTTTTGTCAACCTAATCTATTTGGGGCCGTATTAGTCTTACGCCAACATTTCCTTTTCACCACCTCAAACCATACCACTTTAACACCCCTCCACCACACCACACCGCACACCATCCCCCTCTTCCAGGGAGTAGTGCAGCACCTTCAACCTGAACTACATCATCCTTCCTTGAATTGTATAGAAGTTAAAGTTCCCAGCCTTCAGGCAAGCCTTCCCAAGGAATATATTATGCTTTCAGCTCAAATAAGTCCTCAAAACATCAGATGCATTGCAAGGCGCATAATAATTAGTCGACACAAAATTCAAGGCAATAAAGCCATTGAATCAGATCATAATCAAATTTGTTGTATGAATATCAAATCAAAATTCAAGGCTCATAGCTGAATGAACTTCTACAGAAGCATATGCGAGAATTTACTTAAAGATGCTTACCAACTGTCAAGAAATCAATTATAGGTCCAATTCGAGTTATTGCATGAAATCGTTTGGGTGTACCAAAAAGCATAACTATCAAATCCAGGTATAGCAAAAATTCATCCTTATTGAAGATTTAATGGAGGAATCAGTGGATAAAAATCTTTCAGCAATTGATGTTGTTTCCTATTATTGAAGATTTTGTGTTACTAGAGGAATCAGTGGAGAAAAATCCTCCTTGTTTCCTATTTTCTAATTCTTTCCATTCTCATAATTTATTCTCCGAGCCTCCACCATTGTATTGTATATGAATTGAGAGAGTATTATAAAAGTGATGTAGCCCTTTGGGCTCTTTGTAACGTGGATGTAGGACCTAGTGGCTGAACCACGTAATATCTGTGTGTTCTACTCGTTTAATTTCCTTTCGCTTCCGTTTTATGCTTTACAACATGGTATCAGAGCCTGATTTCTCTTCCTAGGTTCAGAACCCTATTTTGGGGTATTCCCTTAGCATCTGAAATGTTTCTAAGGGTTTCTCGGTGTTATTTGTGACTTGTTTGGGCTGCTGGTTTGTTCGGCAATAATGTTCTTCGCCCTTACCGTGTCTCCGGCAGTTTTTATTGACTTGTTTAGGCTACCGGTGTATTCGGTAGCATTGTCTTTGTCATTGCCGTATCTCTAGCAGTTTTATCTACTTGTTTGGGCCGCCGGTGTGTTCGGTAGCATTGTCCTCGCCTTTGCCGTACCTCTGGCAATTTTTTGTTAACTTGTTTGGGCTGCCGGTGTGTTCGGTAGCATTGTTTTTCGTTTTCTCTCTTCTCACTTCATCATTCACACTTGTTGTTACTCGTCATCTCAATGGCAAGTTAGGCATTCATGCTCTAACTTGAGGGGGAGTATTGAAGATTTAATGGAGGAATCAGTGGAGAAAAATCTTTCAGTAATTGATGTTGTTTCCTATTATTGAAGATTTGGTGTTACTAGAGGAATCAGTGGAGAAAAATCCTCTTTGTTTCCTATTTTCTAATTCTTTCAATTCTCATAATTTATTCTCCTGTATATAGGAGCCTCCACCATTGTAATGTATATGAATTGAGAGAGTATTATAAAAGTGATGGAGCCCTTTGGGCTATTTGTACCGTGAATGTAGGCCCTAGTGGCTAAACCACGTAATATCTGTGTTCTACTCGTTTAATTTCCCTTCGCTTCCATTTTATGCTTTACAACAATCCTCATACATGAGGGATTTTATCTAGTTATAGATAAATGATAAAGCTTACCAGGAAATAAATCCTCTGGCTTCCAGAGAGTTCACAAGTATGCCATCATAGCTGCAAAAAGCATATACCATAATCAGAAAAGAACTAGATTGATTGCTTCTATAAGATGACAAATTCTAAACGTCAAAGATGTCATGTCATGTCATGTCAACTTTAAGGTCTTATAAGAGGGCAAATTCTAAACATCAAAGATATATTTAGGAAGAAGCAAATTTTTTATTTGGACAACCACACAAGAACACCCTATATAAACAGCAAAACAACTGATAGACTGTTGTTCTAGCAGGAAAGGATGATTCTATTTCAAAAACTTTGGGGATTAATTTTAGTGAAGATGTTCATGATGAATGAAAAATAGAAAATGATAGACATACTTTAGCCAATCTACAATGAGCTCCGTCTTTCCTCTGGTTTTGGTGATGTCTACTGGCACTCCAATATTTGTCCAAACATCATGCACAGGACCATCTTCAAGTGAGTAAACCTGCAGAAAGATAAAAACAGACTATGATAAGACTATTTCATTTATCTCATTGAGTGAATGTTTCATGAAAAAAATTATACCAACTCAATTCAATGAAGCCTTTTCCCAACTATTTTGGGGTTGACTACGCAAAACCTGCCTCACCATTTCTCTTTAAGGCCATGAGCTCAGTCAAACCACATTCAATCAATCTTACCTTATCATCACAATCTATGTTAGTTTAAAACTTTCCATCAGCCTAAACAAAGCCAAAGGAGACCAGTTTTATTTTAGAAATTAGACAAATGGTGTACGAAATTGTCAACTACTTCAGAAGAGGTCAGTATAATTTTCCATTTCCCAAAAATGAGAATGGAAGTAGAAACCTCCTTAAAATCTCAAATTTATGGAGACGCTTAAGATCAACTGTTTAACTTTCACAAATTGGTATCAGATCTCTGAAGTTAAGCCATTTGTACCCAGCGGCGCAAAATCACTTGGGGAGGAAGCAAAGTATTTGGGTCTTTCCACCTTTTGAGAGACTTAGGAATATGTTTTAAAAGGGTGCCAATGCAAATGAAAGGCTGCTAGAGAAACTCTTATTATTATTATTATATATCATCAACCCCATTTAAGAACCCAAGAAAGATCAACTACAATGATTCATTTATCTCAACAACTAGAGGATCACTTGTAGAGTTGTGTTCAACTCTGGCGATCTAGTGGGTGGGATTCCAAAGCTGCTTTTCAGTAGTTTGTCCCTCGATTTCGTTGACGGCTCTTGTCTAAACCTGTTCAATGCCATTGTAAGAAAGTGACTGCAAGTATATAATTAGCCTCTGATCTAGTGAGGTAAGGATCCCCTTCATAAGGGTGAAGGAAATTGGGATGCCCGTTGGGTGGCTAGTTCATGTTCTAAAGGGCCTCTAAACTAGGTTTCTGTATCCCAGCTGAACTTAAAACTATTTTGCAGGAGGACTTCTTTGGTCCTCCTTATTCTCCGGCAAACTTTTCTTGATTTATTTATTTTAGATAAATATTATATCCGAAAACAACACGCACACATGTATATTCCATTCCTATTGAATGATCCCTTTTCTACAAGTTGATTGGCATGTTCATATTGGAAACCATTCCCCATTAAAATCATTGATTTTATGTATTAAGACATATTGACATGTGAGCCCAAAAAAGTCTGTCATCTCCATCTTTTCAACACTGTTAATTGCACGAGTACTCTCAAAGAGAAAGCATAATCAATGAAGTGCAGTACAAGATATTCCAGGCGAATGAAGTAAGATGCATTTCAAATAAAAGCAGTACCACCAATGAGAAAAGAATGAATAAAAGCTTGAGTGGAAATTCAAAGCAATTCAATTTAACTCCCTTAATGCCTGAATTCGAACTTAAAAAGCATGAAATTTACAGAACTATGAGATTACCCAGCATGAAATTTACAGAACTATGAGATTACCTTAATTTCATAGCCAATCTCCCGCAATGCAGCTGCAATAGTAACCATCAAGATCTGCTGTGGATCAACCAGCAGATCAGCAAACACCTACAAGAACAGATCAAAATTAAACAGATTGTAACTTACAACAAAAACCCAATAGCCAAAAACTGCCCAAATAAGCTACTCATTATAATTAGAATGAAATAAATAAATAAAAACACTCAAAAACATTTATATAAAAATAAAATAAAACAAATAAAAACACCAACCAAACTTAATCTATAGCTTAATTGATACATCCATGTGAAACAAATTGTGATAGAAGTGACATGAACTAACAAATAAAGATATATTTGTACTCACCAAAGCAAGCTGCGGTTTTCTATACCCAAAAGACACATTAACCTGTTTAGCCTCTTTTTGAAATTTAGCCAAAAGCTTTGAAGGTTCAAACCTTATATCTTCCCCAAACTCTAATCCACCAATATCTTTCAAAAAGGTCAAATCCCCATAAACTGTGTCCCTTTCTTTCAAAAAATTCCCAGAATTTTCAATTACCGAACCAGGCAAAAACATCTGAAAAAGAATCACAAAGAAGGAGAACACAGCGACTGTGCAAATCCATTGTAGATAATCAATCTTCTTGAATAACACCAATCTTGCAAATCTCGATCTGGGTCTTTGACCAAACAAGTGTCTATCACTCCTGTTTGTTGCTGATGAAGAACGAAGTAGATAATGATCCCTCTTCGATGAAAGCCCATTTTCAAGGGAACCCATTTAGTCCCATAAATATCTATTGAATGATTTTTACAATATGTGTGTGTCTCTGCTGTAAAGACAGAAATATGGAACCATTCAAAAAAAAAAAAGACAGAAATATAGAGCAACCAAGACTGGGAACAGAGTGTGACTGTGTGCGCGCGTGCGCTTTTTTGCTGTTTTGAGGAAGGAATGGGTTTTTTTATTTACAAGGGTGTTGTGATGATTTAAGGGTATGCCATTAAAGAATTCAAGAAGATGCTTGTGAGTTTGAGCAAAAAGACAGCTGTTTAGAGATAGAAAGAGATCAATAAAGTGGTCAATTTGGATGAAATGAAAAACAAAACCTATATATATAGATATATGGTATATATATAGCGCTCAGACCGCGAAATCGTGTTATCGGCCGTTGGATAGAAAGCTTGTCTTGATGAGAGTGAGAGTTGATGTAAGAGCGATAAGTTTTGGCAACGAAAAAATAGGAGGGATAATAATCATAATACGCGTTTTTTTTGTGTTGATTTTGTGAGCAGAGACTATACATTTGGGAATGGAAATCTAATAGATTCCTTGTTTGTAGAAGGACTGTCCTACCAATCTTAGATTGGTGGATGCCCTTTACTTGGGTATTATTTTAATTTACTAAAATACCCTTTATTTGAAGTGGTGAATTGAGATGAGAGGCTTTGTAGGGGTCGACGAGTAATTTTCTTTTTTCAAATTCGTACCGACATATAATTCACTCATGTATTCTGAAAATTTAGAACCTATATTTTTTTAGTCGGTGAGTGTTCGTGATATCTCCATGTGGCAAAATATATATATATGTGTATTAGTTAATAGAGAATGATTGGAAGCAGTGATTGAATATTAGACAACAAAATTAATTTTAAAGTAGGGTTACGTAGGTTGAAATTTTTGATTGATTATTTAAGCAGAATTTATGTGATATAAAAAGATAAATGATATTGTATTTAGCTGTAGGTCATGATGACTCGTCACAAAGTACTTATTGAACTTCTAATTTTATTTTTTATCTGATCTCTATTTTGTTTATGTAGACTTAAAAAAAAAAAAAAAAAAACTTGTGAGTTTAATAGGATTAATTGATCCGGCGGCTGAATATAATTTGAGACCTAAACGAAAAATATAAAAGTGACCTTTTAATATCTAATATATATAGTCAATTCAATTAATCTTTCTTGTCACATGATTGATCTTAGAGTTCTACAACTTATACTTAATGAAAAATGAGAAAAAAAAATTTCAAAAATAAGAAAGAAAAAAAACAAAAAAAAAAAAGATAAAATAAGAATATGAAAAGTTTTACAAATTCTGAAAAAAAAATATATATACAAATTTTTTGGCCTCTATTAAATCTGTATTGGTTAGGGTCTAATAATCCATACAAATAAAATTTTCAAGGAGGTTATAATATAAGGAAAAAAAAAAATGAGGTATTTCTATTGAGCAGAATTTAATAATAAGAAGAAAATAACATTTTTAAGAAGATTATAATATAAACAAATAAAAAATTTTGAAAATTATAATATAAGAAAATACAATTTTGGGGCTTTTATATTGGTTGGACTGATAATAGGAAGGAAATAAAATTTTTAGGAAACATATAAAAAAAAAAAATTGAGGGCTTCCTATTAACGTGGGCCTTAGGCGCCTAAGGTCCAGTCACCCTTATTTGATCACGATGCCCAAAAGGTAAAGATAATACAAGTATATGGAGAGTCAAAAATCAAATAATTAGTATCTACAAAATCACTTTGAAGTCTACTAACATTCAAAACTCTATTAACATCCATTCTTTGCAATATAATTTAATTTTATTAAGATAATTTTACCATAAAAAGGTATACAAAGAGTCTCAACAACTACTTTGGACTCCATTAACATTCATTCATTATAATAAAATTTGATTTTATTGAAATTTTATAAGTAGACATCATTATTAACAATTAATTAAATATCTCTAGACAATTACATGAAGATATCAGGTAGTGTGAGGAAGATGGATGGGATGGCCAGATAAAAACTGAAGAGCTAGAGAGAAGGAGACCAGAAAAATTGGAGTGAAGATGAGAAAGGAAAGTAAAAAAACGGAAGAGATAAATATTGTGACCCTTTGGAGTGAAGATGAGAAAGGAAAGTAAAAAAACGGAAGAGATAAATATTGTGACCCTTTGGAGTGAAGATGAGAAAGGAAAGTAAAAAAACGGAAGAGATAAATATTGTGACACGATATATCTACATCGACAACTATATAAAAGGAATCAGTTTACCTCCTCGGTGCAATTATAATTTTCCTTCATTTGAAGGTCCAAAGTCTAGCCCAATTGTTACTATTTCAAGTTGCCTAACATAGCACCGCCCATTTACAGGATTGGAGAATTCCTCTTAAATTTGTGTTAACCAATTGTCTTAGGTTTTATTTTCTACCAAATCAGTAAATGCGTTTGTAGTCCAACGGTTAGGATAATTGCCTTCCAAGCAATAGACCCGGGTTCGACTCCCGGCAAACGCAATAAAATTTCTTTTACCTCTTTATTTTTTATCTTCCTTGTCTTCCACAGTGGGGGTCAGTCATATGGAAGTTTCTAAAAAAAACCATTGATGGTTCATTCTGAGTCTCTGACCCTCTCTCTCTCTCTCTCTCTCTCTCTCTCTCTCTATATATATATATATATATATATATAGATTCCTTATAGGACAGTCCTGCTGCTGAGTTTGCAAGGAATCCAAGCTCACAAAGTTACAAAATGAGGCCTCATTGCTGGCTGCAAGGGTTTTCCCAGTTCTCTCTTCACCACTAGCAAGTTTAGTATTATTGTACACTTACTCTGGCTGGATTTAGGAATATTAGGGAACAGCTACGCATGTTATAATTCAACACCCTCCAACCAGATGAAAAATTTGTATTCTTCAATGATTCTTCACTGACATGAAGAGTAGTGTATATATGTATGTGTTGTGTGTAACTGTACATATATCAGTTGCTCAATATCATATAGGTCCAAAGGCTTGAAAATTTCACGAATAATTAAATTTTCATTTAGAATGATTAGAAAAACCTTGAAATGCTATACATGACATAAAATTCATTCAAAAATTACAGAATAAGATGTGCAACATAAAGTGCGCACTGCTTGATGAAAAAATAAATAAATAATCAAAACTCCGCACGTAACAATTTGGAGAACCAGGATGTGGTGTGATAGCCCAATAGTAGAGTATGTGATGCTTGTGGCCAAAGATCCAGGTTCGAATCCCAACTCCATCAGTCAATTGCTTTAACTTTACAAAAAAAAAAATTGGAGCACCAAGTGAAGGAACACCCGAAAGTCATCAATCCGACTGGCATAATTGAATGAATAACTTGCTTGAGAAGTTTCAAATATTGATTTTTTTTCAAAAAATAATATCAATAGTCATTTGGAAATAAATTAATTAATAAACTTACAAGGAATTCATTCATCATGCTAAATGAATCCGCATCAAAACAAAGGGGACAATATGTGCAGACTATTTCGACAAGCTTTGAACAGAGTGGAACATTATCAGTTCAGGGGAATTTGATTAGACGTCAGTAATTGGCATCCTCCAATGCCTGACCAAAGCTTGTGAGCCCAAAAATGAGCTAATTAGCAAGTAAATTGCACCCATGATTCGCTCTGCATCAGCAGATTATATGTTACCATTCTGAAAAATGTCTTTGCAACTTGCTATAGTCTGCCAAGTGGGGACTCCGGGGCATGATGATCAACTAACCAGAGGCCAAAATCATGAAAACGCTTTATCTTTTTGTCAAAACCTGTAATGTAGTTGTTATGAATGATAACATGCATTCTCTTGGTATCATGAACTCATGTCTGGTTCTTGAAGTATAACCCCCCCGTTGGGAATGCTGCCTGCGGGAGCAGATACAGATCCACCTGCGGCAATTTCCGATAACTAATTACTACAGGTGTAGATCAACAAATATGAACCTAATTATTAAAATATGTAAAATGGAAGCACTCAAAAACATTTTGTTTAGCCAAATCCCAACATATATGGCATCCCATTGGCTGACTCTTCTGCTCTACTTTCTTGAAACGTTCACCCATTCCTTGGGCCAGAATCATTAGGAAAAAAAGAAAAGAAAAGAGGGAAACAGAATATATATGAATCTTTCCTTCAAATAAAAGGTTCTCTAACACCAATGTAGAAGGCCATCCAATAATGTGTGAGTGGTAGAAAATATTAGAGAGGTTTAGAAACAGGACTAAGAAAAGAGGTGAAGTAAATTATTTCTTCAATTCCTGCACCGTTGGTGAAATACTCTTTTATACCCTCTCTGTGTGCGCGCGCGCGCGTTAAATACCTTCTAACATTCTAGCTAAGCTCATTGAGGCATGGTACTTGGCTCAGACATAAGAAAGCACCAGAACTCAAGTTTCTTCATCAGAAACTCAATCATAAGGACAAACATAACTGTTGTTAGTTTGAAGTAGAAAGGCTCTATGGACTAGGGGTGGCCAAGGATTGGATTAGGCATCAATCCTAATCCGATCCGCTCCCAACGGATTAGAAAATTTTGAATCCGCCACCAATCCGTGGAATGACGGAGCGGATTGGGGTTTTTCCTAGATAGTCCAATATTGTTTATTTTTTAACCATAGCCCAATAGATAAAATTTCAACTTATTAATATTAATTCATATCTTTAAATGATCATTAACTAATACATTCTTAGAATCCATTAAATGATCATTAACTAATACATTTCTTGCATATATATATATATATATATATATATATATATATATATATATATATATCTCATGGATCGGATCGGACTCATGGATCGGATCTGTTTTTAATAGTCCAATCCGTGACCCGATCTGTGAGCTAGGGATTCAATTTTTTTGAATCCACCACCGATCCATAGGTGTAGCAATCCGAACCGCTCGGATCAGATTCACGGATTAATTGCCCACCCCTACTAGTATGGACAATACCAATTGAACAAAGTACATCTTCCAACACCTTTCTACGCATAACCTCAATTGAACAGAAGTACTTCCAACTTGTGTTTGAAAAGTCAAAAGCTTAAATAGAGACTCCACAAAACATTTGTTGTGAACCTCACAGCGAAAGGAATAAAAGAATGGGAGAAGATCAAGAAAAAGAAATGGAAGGAGGAGAGGGCAATCAGAAATCCAATCATGGTTTTTCTCAACCAAGGGAATGGAGTCTCACCACCGACAGTGAAGTGCTGGACAAATTGTCACCACCAAATGGAAAAGATTTAATTTCTCCAATGAGTTTAGCGAGAAAAATACGAGTCCCCTTCATTAGCTTGGAAATAGGAATTCAGCAATTACATGGGTGGAAAACTACCTCATAATGCAAGCAACTACGTAATATTCACCCTATACGGCCACTACTAGTCCCAAAAGAATAAAGAGGGGTAGAGAGAGAGATTGTGAAAGAAAAATATTATTACACCATGTACTCTTGTGTGTAGAACCTATCTTAACCTAACGGATGAGGCATATACCTCATGCTAATGTATATAACATATGTCTCAGATACTTATGATTAATCCTGCATTAAGCCTTTATGTCATATATTTGAAGCTAGCCTCATGGCGACCATTGAGGTGAATCCTCACAGGCCTTCTCAGAGGTTGTTTGTAACGATAAAATTGAAGTTCCACTCCCATAAATATTTTCATGTGATAATTAAAGGCAATGTAATGAAAAGGCAAGATAGTGCACACCTGTCCTGCAGTTTTGTTTAATGCCCAGTTAAAAGCAGGCTGGTCATTGGATTTCTTTGCTTTGGACCATGGCTGAGCTTGAAGTTCTTCAATCCACTTGTTCATAACTAGCTTTGCTCCATTAGTTGGGCGCAGGTAAATCATGCAGCTACAAATGTAAGTCCGCCCCTTTTTCCCTGGAGGTGGCAAATCGTGGGAGTGGTTCAAAGGTTTCACCTGGTCATCCCAAAAGAGAGAAAGTGGTAGCCAAGAATGCACCCGCAAGGAAAGAATAACTTCTACAGTAATATTTTTCCCACTTTTTCTCTTCTTTTTGCAAGTTAATTTTGAACTTGTCTTTTAGACAGCTCATGTGCAGCATATTTACCATTGTGTTTTCTACTTAACCATAAAAGGCACAAATTTGAAACTTATACTTCAGTAAATTTGAAGCCAGAAGTGCCTACATACTGCAGCCATGTCATCTGTGAAGTACACATCGTGCTTCCCTTGCAAATAAGGAAATGGATCTGCTAACCAGACCATATCAACATCATTGTACATAACATTATAACCAAGCTCCAAAATGTGAAGCAAGTGGCGAGGCCTTCGGGATGTAAAATTGAAGAATCCCTGTAAACAGAAACTATATGAAGTTATATTCATAAGCTAATAAAGTTAGTTATATAGTTATAAAATCATTAAGAAGAAACAAAACTAAGGTTTATCTCTGTTGATGTAAAATATATCAGGAAAAAAATGTACTTATCTAGCAGCGAATGGAGAGAAAATCCTCTCCATAATTAGAAAGCTACAGTAAGGAAGAACCATAAGCAAGATAAATAATGCAACCTTTGGAATTTGACATCCCATAATTAGAAAAAAAGGAAGTAAATTTTCTTATTTTGAAGAAGAAAAAAAAAGGTGCAAACTTGCCAACAACAGACCTAGTACATTATTGTGCCCCAACTCATGATCACAAAATTAAGGTGGGGTTAAAATATTTCTTTGGGAGTTGCTTTCCACAAAGCCCAAATGGAGATGCCGGTGGAAAAAATTCTCATTTATTTAACTCTGAAAACCATAGGAAAACAATCACTGGAAAGAATACTGTTTGAAAAAGTAGAAGGATTAACTTCATCATACATAACTTCGGAAAAAAAAAAGATGCTGCAAAGTGACGTTACAAGAATTGTTCAAAACTTATATTTCAATTTCCTCATTTATACCGAGCTTAACAAATAATGGAGAATTAACAAAAGTGACAAGAAGGAATCTCGTGCTACAAGCCTACAACTATGAATAGCATTTTAGTTGTCAGGACTGGGTCTTCCAGTTGGAATTGAATCATGCATTTGAGTTAGAAAATCCGCGCCAACCATTGAATTACGAAATACGAAACCAAATTCCCAGCTTTCGGTTGTTCCCATCGGCTGTCCTTTAACTTGGCTGAAAGTAGCTACAGACAGAAGGTTATTACGTGGGACTTGACTTGATACATAATTACAAACCCGGTGATCCCTTTTTTAGGTCTCCATTCCAGACTGGAATATATCAAATCCATAACCAGTATTTCCCGGTGCAACAAATAGCAATCAACACATTAAAAAAACAAGTTTTAATTCATGTAACAAACACAAAAGAAAACCTCCTTACAACAATCCAATTCAATTAACTTAAATTTTATTTTGGCCGAAAGTTCAAGGAAACGTGCACGCAGTCACAATATTGCTTCTAGCAATCCCTCACATTGATGATTAAATTAAAATTTGCATAACAAAAGAAGACCCAAACAAGTAAGCTTACCTGAGACCCAAACTTATGAGCAGTTTGGGCATCTGGTGCAGGAGGGATGAGCACAGCATGACTAGGCCATTTCTCGTTCACTTTGTAAAGCGTGGCATAGTCCTCAGCGATAACAAGAACCTTCTCATGATGCTTTTGCCTCACAATGCTGATCAACCAGTTATTCAAAAAGGGCAAGTAGGGCTCACTCACAGCACAAACTATAACAGTCCCATTCTTCGCCACATTCAAAACCGCCTCCCCCAAAGTGTATTCACGCCATTTCAATTCAGAAACTCTAGAGTTTGTAAAGATTTTTACAGGAAAATTAATCCACGGAAAGAAAATTCCCAAAATTATCAGTAGAGATAGAAGAACTAAGAGGCCCGTTCGGTTGAAAATGGTGATGGGTTTTCGGTAATTAGTTGAAGAATGAGGAGATAATAGGTTAGATTCAGAGAGACTGTTGGGCATTGGCCTTTGATGTAGAGACGATGACATTGTTTTATGGTTACTATTTCAATCGAAAATAATCAAACAGAGTGATATATGAAGTAACATAGAAATTTTGAAATTGACCTCAATTTGACACTGTCATAGCTGTGATGAAATTCTAGAGTCTCGATCTCCGATCTCGAAGAAGACGAATAGATTAGAGCTTCAATGCGCGAGGTTTGTTGTTGTTGTTTTTTTTGTTTTTTTTTGTTTTTCTCGGAAGATTCACTGCGCGAGTTACTTAAAACTTAAAAGTGACTCGCTGAGAAAATTAAATAAATACCGATATTGTTTTAAAATTAAATTATAATTATAAAAAATATCATGCATATTATCAATGAAATTAATAAAATAGATATATTAAGGCCTCCAAAAATCTGAATATGGAAATATATAGTTGATATTTATTTTACCAGCAGGAAAAAAAAAATGACATTGTTAATATTTCATTTAATAAATTGAAAGTTTATCTGCCATATGATAATTACTGATTAAAGTCACATACGAATAATTTACCATAGTCATTGTTGACAAGTGCAATGTTGCACAATCTCCGTATCTTATTGCTCAAGTATGGTTGTTCTCGTGTTTAAGAGACCGTGTTCGAATGCTCAAATTTGTATTCCAAACCCTATATATGATCTGCAATCAAGCTGACTACAAGTTGCCCTTCATTCGGTTGGTTGACACTCGTATAATTCCTAAAAGATGTTCTTAACCATTATAGTTGGGACGACACAAGTATACAACCTACCTTTTCGAGGCTTTTTCAATATAATGCATCTTCACAGTAATACTAATTACTATCAAACACTATAATGTGCGTGCATATATGAACACTAAAAAAGCACGAGACAACTCAAAATATGAAATTCAATGGCCATTTAAGGCATTTTATGCATCACTAATACATACAATTCACTTAACGAGTAGATAATCCCTTGCCACTTCTCTTTTCCAACCAGAGTACGTACATTCCTGCCTCCTACTAAGCATCCAAATAAAAGGATTGAAAAATTGAGGATGATTTGATTCGATCAGCTAATGAATGACCTTAAAAAATGGTCATCCTCAACTAGTGTAGGAAACAACCATAAGCAACTTCCCCACATGATGGTGGAGGTTCAGAGGGTGGCCTCTTTAACTTGCTTGGATGAGGATTCAATAGGCAGTGCTGGTCTTCAGTTTTGGTGTCTTTGTTTTACAAAGAAAGCCGACAGCATGCTCTTGCTACGAACAGGTGGACGAACAATCTCACGCCGTGTTGGGTTGTCAAACGACCTGAATCCTGTTGATAGTTTGTTGCCCTCCTGAAAATCCTGCAAAAGAACACTTCATCATCAGCTTTCTGATTGCTGTTTCGTTGTCTTTTAAGACAGATTAGATATTGGAGGACAAACAGTAATTTAGAACACAACATGCATAAAACATATATTTATTCCTACACTCGTGGGATGCACAGCAATAATAAAATCTAAACCAAAGTCCTTTCATTAATGATGTACAGGTACCAGTAATAAGTGCATCAACCAAGTCCGGTCATGTAACCAAGCTAATCCGCTAAAAGTTTGCAATACATAAAAATGAGGAACACAAGTGTTGTAAACCAGTTCCTAATTGATCTATCAGATAAATATATATATATATATATATCTATATATATATATATATGTATATATATCGAATCTATCAAAAGTCAAGAATACCACAAATGTTTTAACTATAAATTTTAACTAACGTCGGAACCTATAATAATTATAGACCAAGTAACAGTACCAGATTTATAACCAAGATATCTTCTACTAATGTGAGTAATGCCCCTCCACAAAATTTTTTAGCTTTAGCATGCCTGTTATTCACTTCCAAAGCTTTCCAAGGAGTTCCTGTCCAGGAAATATTGTTCATGGACCAATATGCTTCGCATCTGGAGTCTACACAGAGAGACAGTTTCTAAGATCCAAATATCAAACTTTATCAGAACAACCAAGAATCTCCCATCTCATATTTGAAGCTTTAATGTGGTAGATTAACACTTGCACAACCCACTGCAGTAAACTGAAAAGCTAGCCATCTTCCAAATAGCATGTACACCAAAGCATTGTGTTGTGGCTATCTTTCTAGTGCAATTTATCACATTTTGTCATACTGCTGCTTTGCAGCATAAACCAACAGTTCGGTGGAAAATGCAAAGAAAAAACAATCTCTAGAATTAGTGCAGGTCCTATTGTTGGCAGAAAGGCTCCCATGGCTCCAACAAACAATGACATAGCACCCTAATCGAAGCCGTGCCTTGCACCGTTCCACCATTCATACTCCCACTGGGGAGCACACTCAAGTCCCAAAGGAGATCATTTCTACCATCCTTGGCTGCAACCAATCAACCCTTCCCCTCACCTCCCAAACCCACTCAAAAGATAGGTCATAGCCCTTGTTGCCTCAGCCACTCCATCGACAACTCACTGCATTATTCTCTCTGCAAAACCCTCTCCATGTGTCTCAGAAATCAGGATCAAAGCTGGAAGCATTCTACAAAGAACAAAATCAAAGCCATAGCTCATTCATTCCTACAATTCTTTACCGCCCCCACTAATCCAAACCAAAGAACTATAAGGTATCTACTCATGCGCCCACAAAAGAATTCACTCCATGAAACATTAAATAGCTTCTGGAGACAAATTCTCCTACTGATGACTGTCGATCCCTATAACTGTGAAGGACGGGATAACCTAAACAGCATCATTTTGTGGACGGATACATTCTTCAAAGTTTGGTTACGCGCAATCTGAGTAATGCATCCAACTGGATTTGAACTTTTAATATAAATGGAGCTTCAAGTGAAAATCCATAATCAGCAAAGTTGGAGTTATAGGAGATCACAGTGCATATCATCCATTAAGCTTCTATTGTATCTTTCACAGTTTTAAATCTTCAACTCATTGCGTTGATTCAACTTATTAGCCCAGTAAGCCTCACATTGCATCGGAGCTCAGGGAACTAAATGCAGGCCCATTATTATGTGTTAATCGAGGAACTATATTTAGCTGTTGAAAGTTATTTTACCATTCAAATCAAAGCTGTTTATTGTGGATGAGGTTCGGATGAAAGAATAATGAATAAATGGAGGAAGCTTCAACATCTAATGTACATCCAATCAGTCCATGCACTTGATGGAAATGGCTCCTAGGACAATTAGGTTTAAAGGTTCTACTTCAGTAGAATTGCAGGACACATATACATACACACACACACTCGCACACACACACACACACGTATATATATATATATATTCGTTGTTCAAATTGTGTAATATCGATTTGTCTCATAAATGGGTAGATTCCTAGGTTCATGCCAAAACATTGACTGGATAGGGTTATAAACTTCAGTTTCAATTGCATGTTTGTTCATGTTTAGTTATTCATTATTAAAAAATAAATAAATAATCAGGCATGCATTTAGAAGAATGTTGGGCAAGTCTGAGTTCTTGATGCTTTCGACATTACCCTCCATGTGACACCACGTGTTTGCTTAACGGCACTCGATGCAGGCCCTCCACTGGGCATCTGAACATGAACTGCTGAGGATTTTGGCCGTTTACTCTCTTCAGCATCTACAAGCATAAAAATTGAAAGCGGGGACCATTATAGTTTTTATTTTTCTGCAATGAACATTCACCGTAACTAACAGCACAGCTGGAAGTAAGATCTATGCATACCCAACAAATGGAAGACCCCAGATGTTTCTCCAAAAGTTTTTGAGTCTTCACTGCTGCAAAGATAAACAAATATTCAGCAACCGATTAGATACACAAGCAAAAGCTAGTTATTCTTTCCTCAGAATTATATGCTGAAGTTCATGGACTAGCCTTATTGAAGCACACGGAGTCCTTTTCACTGCGGACTTTGTTTCAGAAGCTATGTGCCAAGACAGAGTTTTAGAAACAGGGGTACCTAAATTCAACGGGTTGAATAAGAAATAAGCATATCAAGTAAACTGAGTTTTCAAAAATATTCTTACATCATTAACAGCTTATAAACGCCTATCAAGGAGAAAAACAGATACCTGAAGAATAAAGACGAGTTCTTGCATCTGTCTGTGTGTGGGGGCTAAAATGCACCTTCTTGTTGACAGAATCTAGCTTGGGGTGTCAAATCAGAAATAAAAAATAAATGAAAGAGGGAGAAAGTTGTGTGTCTCATAATGCAATTAGCACTTCTAAAAGAGTGCAGTAGTAAAATTTGGTATTACTTGGCAAAATGTAGTGCTTGTGATGCCTCGGGATGATTGCTAACAACTGGTGCTGCCTGAGACCTTCTTTATCCATGTATATTTGGCATGTTATAATTTGCTTACATAACAAAGGTTTAAGTTCAGATTCTACCCATGTTAAAATTCATTCTATCCACATAATATTTCAATTAGATAATTGTAAAAAACTTACCTGATTTAAGCATGAAACATTTAACTCCATTGTTGCGACATCTAAGGTTTGTTGCTCAAGGAGGTCAGTTAACTTGTAAGCGACAGTGCCAAGGTGGTCAATAGCATTGGCAAAGGCTCGCACAGCATAATCTTTTAAATTATTCAACACCCTAATACATAGTTCCATGTTAAATTTTGTTAAGAACGGAGAAAGAATGCTTAAGATCCACACACAATGGACAGATGCAAATGAATCAATTAACATATAAGTCTCACCAACTCCAATTGCATAAAAGAATGTTGAAGGTACAAAAGTCCAGCATGATGCCGTTGCACTTAATATGAGAATTGGTAATTGAAAGCACAAGTATCAAGATGCCTAGTGGAGCCTGGGTGATAAATATGCTTGGTTGATGTGGTCAACCAGTTACATTAGATTAACATGTTCTACATGCCTAATTATAGTGTAAAACAAACTCTATTTAGTGGTAAGATCTTGAGCATGAATACACACTCACAGGATTTTACAAATTATTTTAATGAACAGCTTGATTGCAAACAAAGGAAGGAATCCAACGTAGTAGTGGTACTTGTATATTCATTAACCTTTGGGCATTTTTTTTTTCCAAAATCATTTTTACTGCTACATACCAATTTGAATTATATGGTTAAAACCCACCACTCCTAATGGTTCGGAAACTTGATCATCTAGGTAAGAGCCACATATTTAAAACCCCAACATTCAATTTCCAGAACAAATGTATACGATATGAAACATAAAAAAAATTGAATATTCATTTTTCATTTTTTATATGATGTTAAAGCTACATCGTTATTAAATTGTGAAAACATCAATCAATTCCCTAATGCTTCTATAGCCTACACAGCACAAGGGTGTATAATCACTCGGATTTCTCTTATAAAACTAATGGAGAACAACTCAGAAGTTTGCTGTGATTTGCTACAACCATCAA